AAAGCTAGACGAAGAGGTAAGCTTTTATTCCTCAAAAACCAGAACTTCGAACCTTGATAACTCCTTTAAATGTTATCAATGTGGGCAAACTGGGCATGTGAAGGCCCGTTGTCCGGAAAACTAGACCAGAACCGTTCTAATAGGGACGAGAATGGTTCTAGAAGAGTTTCTAAGTCCCAAAACTACCAGTCAGAAAAAACTTATATTGGTCAAATTTCTAGTGAGAGTGTGGGTAATCCCCGTCCGGCAATTAGTTTACAGATTGGTGACAAATATTATACTGCAGCCCTTGATACTCAAGCATCACATTCGTTTATTGGCATGACGGTGGCTAAATTGTTAACACCTGTTCGTCCAGACGGTGTAACTGTTGTCAAAGGTGCAGTACAAGATATAAATTACAAAGTCAAAGGATTTACTTTTCTTGAAGCCAAATGTTCTCAAGAATCTATTCACATTCCGGTAAAAGTGATTAAGGATTTAATCCCGGAAATCATACTAGGGCATGATTTCCTTGTTAAATACGGTGTGTTGATAGATTACACAGCAAATGAAATATTTTATGGCATTAAAAATAGAGTTAGATTGGGATGGTTAGAGGAAAAACACTTTGATTTGGGAGCAGAATTAGAAAACGTTTTGGATGAACTGAAAACGGGAATTTTGGATCTCAATCAAAGAACAGACTTGATTAATTTACTCAGTATCTTTCCAGAGGTAATTACAGACAGAATTGGGTTCACTACTACGGTAAAACATATGATCTCTTGTAAAGATAACACTCCTGTCAAACAGAAACCTTACCCTCTTAACCCTGACAAACGGAAGTTTGTCATAGAAAAAGTAAGGGAAATGGAAAATCAAGGACTAATTGAACCACCATCTTCAGGATGGGCTTCACCAATAGTATTACCCAAAAAGAAGAACGGAGACTACAGACTTTGTGTGGATTTACGTCAAGTCAACAATAAAACTATTGCTGATGCTTACCCAATGCCTGATCTACGACATCTGATTAAGCAAGTTAGTGGGGCCAAAGTATTAAGTACTTTAGATTTGAATTCTGGCTATTGGCAAGTAGAGGTAGAAGAATCATCTCGGCCTATGACCGCTTTTTCAACACCAAGGGGACTATATCAATTCCGTGTTATGCCCTTTGGATTGAAAAATGCCCCAGCAACATTCATGCGTCTGATGGACAAAGTTTTGTCAGGTTATGTTGGTGAATTTTGTGAAGTTTATTTGGACGATGTACTAGTTTACAGCAAAAGATTTTCTGATCATTTGGAACATTTGGCTAGAGTATTAGAAAGATTGAAAATTCATGGATTTACCTGTCAGGTGAAGAAATGTCACTTTACGTCCAACTCAGTAGAATATTTGGGTCATGTGTTAAGAGACAAAGGATTAGAGAGGCAAACTGAGAAAAACAAGGCTATTGAAGAGTACGAAAGACCTGGTACGAAGCGTAAAGTTCGACAGTTTTTGGGCCTGTGCGGTTGGTACAGTTGTTTTGTACCTCATTTTGAATCCAAGGTTTCACCTCTAACTGACCTTCTTCATAAAAATAAACCTTTTAAATGGACCGAGACGGAAGAGAAAGCTTTCAGGGAGATAAAGAGATCAGTACTTTCCTGTTAAAGGGAACATTCATTATTATCGATGATTTTTTCTTTCGATATATCGATATTTTTGTTTTCCGATCCATTACACATTGACAACTGATCTTGTTTAGGCTAAAATAGTCTATTATATGAATTAAGAAATGAAACTGTTCTAAGCTAACCTAACATAACCAACCAAACTTGCTGTACCATTTAAAAATTCCGTTTGATAACAGAAAAGGCAAATTAAACACGGAATTTTTAAATGTTACACAGCAAGTTTGGTTAGTTATGTTAGGTTATTTTTTATAACAGTTAGTTTCATTTCATTATCGTTTGTTGATACTGAACAATATTTATCGTAGTTGTCAGCTGATATGTTTCAACTTGTTAATATCAGACAGACAGAAATTTAGATGAGACTTGTTTCGGCTTAATTAATGTATAAAACTGCAACCTCAGGGTTTAGGGTTAGTGCTTGGAACTCTCTTTAATTTCCAATTTCCTTGCTAATCTTTTAATTTGAAACTTTTTTTATAATAATAAAGTTAGCCTTTGATTTTTTTTTTATAAATAATTTTATATTGAATTTGGATAAGATTGTTCTAAAACAAAAGTCTTTACTTGAATCAAGATTTTAGGCTATGGCTATATAAATTTTAACAGCTATGAGGCTACTCGATCCACCTCAGAAGTAGGCTAATGTTCTCAAATTGTCCAACACTTAAATAGGATAGTCTGTAATAATAAGATGGAGATTACCAAGTTTCCACATTTCTTCTTGTTTAAACTATTTGAAATAATTAGACTATTTTGGTTTAGCTTTTCACTTTTTACTAGAAAATATTATAATATAAAAATCATACAAACTAGTTTTTAAACTCTCACCCAGGCTAGTTCATGGCGGTGGGGCACACGGGAGGGACTAAGGCTAACATATCTTGTAGTGTCAGCGTTTGCCGCTAGAACCGCTAAGGTGAAAAAATATTAATTTTTTTAAATTTATAGTTATAAAATTAACTTTTTAATTATAAAATATTGTTTTAAAATTATAAAATAAATTTTTAATTTTTAAAGTTAAACTGTCATAACATAACCTAACCAACCAGACTTGCTGATAACATAAAAACTATATGGGACAAAAATCTAATTAATGATTACTTATAATTTTTAATTAATTATAAAATTAATTTTAAAATTTAGTATTATAAAATTAAACTGTCATAACCTAACCTAACCAGTTATATATATATTTATTTTTACTTTAGCTTATGTTTGAAATGGATTGTAAACATAATATATTTAAAATAGGCTGTTAGGCTTAATTGATTGGTAATAGGCTATTTATATATTATTTAATCAAACAAAATTTTATGAACTGTTGCAAAACGTAAAAATAACCTAAAAGTTTATGATTCTGAGCAATGTACAGACAAAACTCTAATTTTATTTATATAGATTGTGTATCAGCCATTTATAGACTGTTTTTATACTGACATCCCGACTATTTGGAACAGCTGTTGCCAATTTTTTTTATTAATAAAGAACCTAAGTTGAATGAGCTAATCACACACAGTGCTCGATCAGTGGCGGATTTACCAAGGGGCACACTAGGCACGTGCCTAGGGGCGCCTGCCATCGAGGGGCGGCGCGCGGCCCGTCAGCGGGTGACGGGCGGCATGGCGGCAGGCGCTTGGTGATAGGCTGCGGCCACACGGGTGGTTTTATCATGCAAAAATGCAGCTTGAAAACATGCCAAAAATTAAAGTAGTATTTAAACGAATAGGCGCCCGCTATTGTGGAAAAACACACTGCGTGAGGGGCGTGTGGCATTCATTCCTCATTACATTTAATACTACTCATATTTACGCTGCGTTTGAGCGTGAAAAAAAGCCCGTGTGGCCGTTGCCTTAAGTGGTTAAGACGACTCACGTTCATGTCGCGACATGCAGATGCAGACATACGACTGCGAGTAGCGAGCACTGTCGTAGTGCGTCATTTCCAGTACCTGTGTTGTATTTCTAGTGGCAGTTATCAGGGCCGCCCCGAGGGTAATGGTAATAGACGCCTGGGGCAAGATTTAAATTTTTGCCCCCTCACCAAAAAATGTATTTGCGGGGTTTGCGTCAATAGACTCAACGTCCAATATATCGATATTGAACGTTTTGCAAGTATTTTTTTATAAACGTAACAACTACACCGAACAAAATTACTAAAAACATTGAATTTACGACTCACAACGGACATCACAAAACGACTATGAGTTGATGTAGAAGTTTGAGTTTTGAGGTTAGAAACAAGCAAATGTAGGTTGGGCTGGGGCGTGTGGGCGAATACGCACATACGCAGTGTGTGTGATTACATGAGTTTTATGAGTTTCCTCTAAAATATTCGTTTGCGGTTTGCTGATAACGTTGTTAAATTTTTAACCTTCCAAAGCCGCGGCGCCCAGGGCGGCCACCCTGCACGCGCCGTCCTTGGGGCAGCCCTGACAGTTATATTATAAGAAAAATTATTGTTAGCTGTTTTGAATGTTAAATTTAAAATCTTTTAGTATAGTGAATGTTGTTGTCAACCGCCTTCGAAAATGTTGGTTAGTAAATAAGGCAATTAAGTCATTGCTCAAAATTTCGCCCATTTTATTCATTCTTGATTAAAGTAGGCTACTCATAATTGAATGACAATATAAAACAGGCTTATTTATTACTTTTTTGTAATGATACAGCGGACGTGTTAAAGGCAGTCATAAGTTATTTAAGTTTTGGCAGAACAATAACTTATATATGTTTATTTAATCTAAAATGTAATATGTATTAATAACAGGCCCTATTTATTTTATTTATGTGAAAAAACTAACTTTTTTGGAACCGCTATTGGTTGTTTTACTTTTTTAATCATTTTAATTTCTTAATTATGCATGAAGAAAATAATAATAATGAGTGAAAAAGGTCAGGTTAAGTGGTGCAGCATTACGCAAACTTAAGGAAAAGCGTGAGAGAGAGACTTCCTTTCCTTTTTCGCAAAACAAAAAGGGGCGGCCGGCCGAACGGGCCTAGGGGCGGCGCCGTAGGTAAATCCGCCACTGTGCTTGATTGTCACTGAGATAGTTGATGTGACACGAGAGATGCTATAGCTTACAATATGTCATTATATCAGTTTGACTTGTTTTAAAAAGTCTGCATATTCAATAAAAAATCAGTCATTTTATCAGCACAATCTATCAGTGGCTTAATTCAACAACAATTTTGATTTAAAAACTGGCTAACTTGAACATTTCTGGGTTTTTTTTCTTAGGCTGTTTTGGTTAAACGGCATTTCAGTTAATGGAGGTTCTACAGTAGATATATTCACATAAATTTATCGGTGACTTCAGAAATGAAGGTAACAAAACTAAGATTGTTAAATAAAGTAATTTATAATTTAACAGTAAAAAGGCACATTATACTAAATAAACAAAATGATTTGATTAAATAAAATAAGACAGTCTAGCAGCAGCAGAGTCTACTTGTTGAAGGTTTAAAGTAAGGAACAGAGTCGAAGAGGCAGAACTCTAAACCATCATATCGATGTATTGGGATCTGAAACATTTAAATAAGATGTAAAACATGTTGGTTACTTTAAAAAATATAATTGACATAACATTTTTTCTAAAGTAACAAAATAATATTTTTTTCCATTCACTTAGAACTAAAAATTCTGTACAATTAAAATCCACATACTACCTGACAATCAATACTGAATTGAAGTGCCTGAAGTTGGTCTTAATTTGGTTAAGCAGTCAAAAATAGCCAACAGCATGAAGGATGGAGATTTTCCTCCTCTCACTAGCTTTTCGATTTCGCAACCTCTTACACTTGGCCACATTTATGAAAAAACAAGCAATGAACACACCAGAAATTTAGTTGAAACCTAGCAAAATCAAATCAAAATAATGTTTATTTTAGAAAGTAAACTACAGTATTACAAGACTTTAAAGTAAAACGGTCGGCAATCCGCAACTCCCCCTAAACTCAAACATCTGTGAAAATGTATTCTACCTGTGTACCATGTAACTGATAAGGATATAATTTTTCGGAAATATAAGGAATTTCATGGCTCAAAGTCGTCAAGTGGTGTTTTATTGGCATTTGATGTATCTTAAAGTTTATATTCCTCACACAGTCTGGGACTTTGAGAGTCTGTTGTGGATCGCAAGTCACCAGAGACTGCAATCGAAACTATTAAACGTAAAAATGTATTTATATTTTACTATTCTCATGAAATATCTTATGTAATAAAGCACACACCGGGAGGTCCGGGATGGGAGGCGTCAGGTTCAGTCTCGCAGTTGTGTAGTCGTGTCGGGACTTGGTCCAAGCCTAACTCTCGGTCCTGCTCCACAGCCCAGCAAGCCTGTCAACAGAGAAGACAGCTGTAGTGGGAAATGCACTGTAGGACTAACAAACCAGCAATGCACTGCTGTAATCCAGACCCCCACTACAAACCATTTAGACAATCAATTTCATGCAGATTACAACTGTGTAAACAAATTGACAATCGAGCTACTATGAACAGAGATATAGCGTATTTTGTGAGCGCAAACGTGGAAACGCCATAAGACGTAATGAGTAAGAGAGAGACAGTGAATACGTTAGGTTGGGGGGGGGGGGAGCGGCGGGCCGATACATGTGTATCTCTGAGCAGTACAGCGCGCGATCCAGCTGTAGTAATAATAGAGATCGATGCTATTAATTAACAGCTGTGACTAAGGAAAATGTCGGCCTTACTAGATAACAAGACAACAAGATCGCGCCACTCATCCTACACTCATCTCCATTCATACTTGGCTTAAAATTCCTAAATTTGTATGGTCAACATTTCATAAAAAAGTGTGACAACTATTATTTATAGGTATTATTTTGCAAGTTTCTACGACTTGGCACGGATAATAGAATGAAGCCAGATACTACTGCGTTTGATGTATTATCATCTCAACATCAAAATTATCAGAAGCAGAAGGATACTATGATGAGGATATAAATATTTTGTTATCTGATACCATTGTTGGTATCTTTGGAAGAGAATATTTACAACTCTTTTCCAATCAAAAAAATCTGGAATGGAAATATTATTATTTAAGAAAAGATTGAGGTTTCAAATATATTAAAAGTCTTATTATTTTCATTGTACTCACCATGTTGGGTATGAAAAAAAAAAATATCCAGGATAGTAAACTTACCTCAGTCTTAGATTCGGTGGCAAGGTTCCCGTTACAAGTAGCCATGTTGACATCTCTACCACTTGCTTCTTCCTGAAATGAAACATTCAACATTGCACAATTCAACAAATAGAAAAGATCATATCGATTTACAAAATAAATACATTTTTAACATTGATACTATGACAAATAATTTGAGGAGATCTTAATAAAAAGCTCAGAGTTCCATATTACTTGGCGGTGTTTATCTCTATTGGAAGTAGACCTTTGTAAGTGAAAAAAACATTCTACAATCATTTAATCTGGTTTCCCTAACCAAATTCAACGACCTTTCAACTGTCACTTTAATTACAGATGTGTCAAATGAATGATTGTATTGCCACAGCAGATAATTGTAGTCCTATGTTGGTTAAATATCCATAGTTTAATCGATAAAGTATAAAAAATTTAGTAAACTATTTTCATTCCAACCAGTAAAAATGAATTCCTAAAATGCAATTTTTTAACTTCCTTAATTTTGAATAAAACTAGTTCTCTATACATTTTACAACAACAAGCACAAAATAGAACAGTGGAGCATCCATTTGTTCATCTAAAAGTATCAGTAGTTCATCAATTAATTATCTCCGGTATTTGTAAGAAATCTATAAATTACTGGATCCTAGAGTACTTGCCCACCCTACTCACCAGTTGGTCAATACCCTCCGCTGTGTCCCCCCTCTCCTCCTCGCCACCGCTACCAGTCGAGTGACGTGATTGGTCGGCCTCAGCTAGATCTGCCTCAGACACTGGCTCACTCTGCCCAACAAACTAGACTATGTCAATCTTTGCTCAACCAGTAGCATTTACAGATGCATTGAACAATGTCAACAGACAACTGATGTTAAAAGCTTTCCCTATACTTTCTATTCATTTGCAAAGACTTTAATTTTTATAAAAATAAAAATAATGTCTCAAACAGAAGAACCCAAAGTCCTTGAGTATCCCAACATTTTAAGGTTTTGATATTAATCCATGCCCATCATTTCAAGCTTTAGATAGTAATTTTATTTTTATTTGCTGATACAGTTGAACTTAAACTTTCTGAACTCCAACAATCCAAATTGCTTACAGAAAGAATTTTAAAACTCTTAAACTACAGTAATAAGAATCCTTATTAAAGAAGCAGAAGCTCTGATCACAGTGAAATCCAGAACATCTCCCACGGTTGTATGGACATCATCGGCTCCTGCGGTCACGGAAATCAGCATTGTCCTTTGCAATAAATAGGTTTTCCTACAGTCACCCGACAAAGTGGGCTTCCTTGCAAAGATTATAGTACAGAAAGCCTTACATTGGCGCACAATTTTTTTTACTTTGGCGCACAACAGAATTTTAACCAAACAACACAAAACAGCATACTTTTATTATACTCCATGTACGCTTGAAAATAAGTTGGCAACACAAATAAAGATATTACGACTACGATCTGCAATTACTGCCATTGTTTCACTCATGAAACTTTCCACATTCGCCTACGGCTCGCACGTAAACATTTATCCTACCTTATTTCTGCGGGCCTGGTTTGCCGGATGCAGGTTGAGAAGAGAGGAAGACACACTTTCCCCCACTACTCCTCCTACGGCTCCCTCCTCTTCTTCTTCCTCTTCTTCCACCACTTGAACAACATCACCATTCGGCTGCTCCTGGAAATAATTACAAAATAACCATATATAAATATATATAATATAAATTGTTTATAAATATATAAAGACAAATTTTGACTGGCTAAAGAATAGGTAAAAGGGAGGAACAAATAAAGTTCAAAAAGAGCCAGTTTTGTAACAGCCATTCTACTATTTTCTTCTGAAGAAGTTCCCTTGAGGGAGAGATTCGTCTAAAATTATTTGTGTTGTAAACATTTTCTGAGATGTTAACAGCCTGTGACTCTATTTTACTATCTAGAATCTATCTATATATATAATACGTGAAGCCGTTTTTTGTTAACGCAACTCCTCCCTTATTTGTGGACCAATTTCAACGTTTAAGGTGTCAAAAGATTCGTCTCAATATGAAGTTTTGCAATAAGGTTTTAGAATTTTAAAATTCCTACTCTGAAGGGCGTGAGACCCTCTCAAAAGTCGGGTTTTCCCCATAAGAAATACATAGGAGAAATTTAAAAACCAAAAACAGCTGTTTATAAAAAGAAACGCATTAGCTTTTTGGGAGTAAATATTAATGTTTGTAATATTCAGTAGGTTAAGACCAAGTTAAACCGGTAATCAGTTTTGTAGGAAGAACAGAAAATGCCTCAAGTTCAAAGAAGAAATATTGAAAACGTGAGTAGGAGACAATTAATAATAAGATATATCTTATGCGTATGAGGAGAGTAGAAATAGAGAGGCCTGGTCTAACAGACACCCATCCAGATACACATTCACTTGGTGATGTGTATAATATTTGCCAGTTCTGCTATACATCGATGGTTCTGCTCAGCAACTCACTTTGGAAATGAAAAAATGTACGAAGCACATAGTGTTGTCACGGTGGTAAAATAAACTTGCCTAATGTCAGATCAAATGAATGCATGCAAGAAATGTTTACTTCTGACAATGACAAAACAAGATAGGCTATTTCAAAACATTTAGTTTAAACTATATTTAATGCCTTGACTATGATTAGTTCAAGTAGTAAGATTATACCAAATCTTGGCGGACCTTATATTTTTATTGTAAACTTTTGTATTACTCGCTCTACTTCAATTGAGAAAAAACACAAATGGATTGTTTACTTCGAGGTTATGTTTCCAGTTCCTCGGGAAAACTTATACAAGGTCTACTGACTGAATTTACCAACACAATCCAGACATTTCAAGTCAAAAATAAGAAGTTTGCTACAACAACTCATTTGCTATTGAAAGTTTTAGTGGCAATATTAGACCAAACATAAGTGAAGGAATTAGTGTTTATGTATTCAACGATCAAGTTGTTACGGTCAAGTTTATTTTTATGATTTAGGAAAGGCAAATAATATACGCTGTTCAAAAAGAGAATATGAAAATTGCTATCCAAATCGTATAGCTACAAGAGTTATCCAACCTATTTCGACAAATGAATCCATACTTTCAAAACGTTGGGACAGGTATTTAGAGAAACTCCACTGAAAAACGTGAGACTGATAGACAACACGTTGAAATATGTTAACCAACTTTCAATGGTGTTGCTGCTTTAGCTAATTCAAAGCAGATTATGACAGTTAAGTTGGAAAAAAATGGACCACATGAAATAGTTGATATCACCTAACTTTTCAGGGTTCTCCACGAAGAAAATTTGTTTGATTAAGGGGATGTCTCAAAGAAATAAAATGATTTAACTTAAATTACTAAACACTGGTTATCAGTAGGCCTAAGGCAACAGTTTTCTTTAATTCTCAATGCTGGAAAAACTTTGTTGCAACATGTTAACTCGAATTGAAGCAGATTGTTTAGCATTCATTAGAAGTTATCAATTAAAACTGAGAGCAGAAATAATGTAGGTGAACCTTGACGACGCAAACAGAGATATTTAAAATTAGTTTCTAACAAGTGTTTAAACAACTCTAAGAGGTAGCTACAATTACTCGAATTTAAGCATAAAGTTTTCCTCGGCGTTATGTTTCATACTATGCGGCTCATTGAGCCGCACGGGTTCTCTAGTAGAATCTATTGATTGATTGATTGATTTCAACCACCCCTCTTATGATTACCGTGCTGTGGTTGTGATGCACTGTGTTGACCAGACGCAGGAATGTCAGCTCACTGATAAGTACATCGGCTACATTGATCAGCAACTCCTCATAAACATCTCCTAGCCTACAGACACACAACAGAGGTTAGGAGGATATGAGTTAAAATTAAACTTTCATCAACAAATACTATGGACAATTTATTAACAACAAATAATTCTATGATTATTCTTGTAGGAAGCTTCCTGCAACAGAAAGATTTTCTACACTAAGAGCCAGATTTTCCCCTTGATAAGAGGAACTCGGAGCAGTTTTAGGTGGGCACTACATCATTTTCCATGATGATCACATGAACTAACTGCCATATCTGAAAAATAGTTTATAAACTATTCATATACCATTCAAAAGACACAATATCCAAATTACCTGAAAGCCTTACAAGATATTGGACATAAATATCCCAAATAGAGTCGATTAACAGAAGTGCAGCGTTTTTTTGTCGGAAGAATTTCATTAGGGGTGGTACTGGTATCTTTGTATCCAGCCTGATAAGTTTTGAGAATTTAAAACTGGATTGGCTCTGTGTTGAAAAGAATTTTGAATGTTCTGGTGTATTTAGCAAGGCTTTAAATTTGGCTATAGTATTGGTGTACCATTCAACATCTGGGGACAGCAACATCTTTCTCACGAATTTGGAACTGTTATTAATATTCTTAGATCGTTTCAAGAGTAATATAATAATTGGTGGTGACTTCAATGCCAAATTTTATGTAAATAATAAACTACAAAGCGTGAAACAGCTTGTCTACACTCTGGAACAATTTAACTGTCATTACATTAACAGAGCGCCAACTAGGTTCAACGCCTGTCTTGACAACATCTTTACCAACATCTTGGAAGAGTTATATTCTTCTAATGTGGTCTACCCTGATATGTCTGACCATGATGGGCTGGACCTTACAGTGGAGTTGGTCCAATCTTCTACTCGACCAGAAATACCTACAGTTGTCAATAGAGACGTCTCTTTGAAGCGTTTACAAGAATTTAAATCTAATTTACTACAAATTGACTGGCTGCCTCTATTAAACTTTGGAAATTTACCTGCTGAGGACTTATTTAATGTTTTTTTCTACACTCTTCTGGATGTTTTTTACATAAGTTGCCCGGAGAAAATCGTAAGGAAGAAGAACAAAACTTTGAGTGGTGCAGGAAAATCTTGGTACACACCGGACTTGAGAAAAATGAAAGAAAGGACTGTGGCCTATCGTACAATACTTCAAGCTTCTCCTAGCGAGGTGGCACTTAAGGCATACAATTGCAGTCGGAAAATCTACAAATCGGCAGTCAACCAGGCAAAATTAGATGCAAACGACAGATCCATCGAGTCCGCTTCCAACAAATGCCGAACAGCTTGGAACATCATCAAGAAGAGCACAACCAACAATGCTCCGGATGTTGAGGTGGAAATTTCCCCTGAGGAGTTTAACAACTTCTTCATCAGCTCAGTAGAGGAAGCCAGAAGTACTATCGATCAGCCTGATGTGTCTTCAGAGGAACTGCTTCGTAGGTCCGGTCATTGTGAAGCTCACCTTGAATGGAAATATGTGTCCAGTGAGGAGGTTATAAGTGAAGTGCGGGCCATGAAAGCTTCAAAAAGTAAAGATGTGTTCGGCCTATCGGGTTACATAATCCGGTATATTCTGAGTGCAATATTGCTTCCTTTGGTGTTGTGTATCAATGCGATTTTTAGGGAGGGAGTTTTCCCAGAAGCGCTGAAAATAGCACGAGTGGTTCCTATTCACAAAAAGGGTTGGTGTCATTAGTGCCTATTTTAGGTCAATTAATTGAACGGATTGTAAAGCACCAGGTATGTACACACTTTGATAGATTTAAGTTTTTTCTGCATTTCAGTTTGGTTTTCTGAGTGAAAGGTCAACTACGGATGCCATTGATTGCTTTGTTTCTGGGATTTTGGAAGCTTTTGAGGGAAGGAGTCTTGCTCAGGTGAGTGCGTGTGATTTGAACAAGGCTTTTGATTGTGTTGATCATGGTCTCTTGCTGTTTAAATTGGAGCACTATGGCATCCGTGGTTGTCCTCTCCAATTTTTTAAGTCTTATTTAAGTGGTCGTTCACAGTTTGAGTTTGTTGATGCAAAGGGTGTGCATTCCAGGTGCATTGAAGTTAAAACTGGGGTTCCCCAAGGCTCGGTCCTTGGTCCCCTACTCTTTTTGATTTCTGTCAATGATTTGCCACTTCGTATTGAGGGTTCTCAAACCACAATGTTTGCAGATGATACAACGTTCCTAACTGTTCACCGTGATCTCAATAGATTAAAGTTATCTGTAAAACATACAATGAAACAAGCTGGGGATTGGTTTAGTGCCAATAAACTCCTTCTTAACCCTCCAAGTGTCTCTAGTTTTGGTCTTAATGTTCGCCCATTTATTGCGCAATTGCAGGGTTTTATTAAAATGTATCTTAGGAACTTAAAAACAATGTAAAGTATACTGTTTAATATATAATTTTGTTTGGAAAATTATGGGCTTCAATGTAACATATAAAACATTACAAAAAAAATGTTCAACAATTTTTGTGGGGTTAACATTTCTCAAAAATTATAAAATAAATGAAAAAAATGTATGTTTGCGCTCAATAAATTGTTATAATTATTAGGTCTACAAATATTTTAAAATAGCCACTTTGTTCAGAATTTTATAATAAAAAACAAAATTATAATAATAGAAGGAAGTAGATTTGCAAATAAATAAGTTATGGGTAAAAAACAGATTTCGGTACATAGCGTTTAGCTAAGAATGCATAGCCTAACCATAGCTAGGAATCTGGCTGATAATTTACATCAATATCACTACCTACTTCTTCAGGATCATCAACCAGCCCTTCAAAATCACTTAAATCTTCTTATAATGCACCACGTATATCACTACTTTTGATTTTTAACACTAAAACAATGATAAACGTAATATAACACATCAGTCATCGGTGCGAGGTTAACCAAGCTATTTACAAATACGCACGTCAGCTGTCTGCTACAATTATGATCGGCTCGAGAAAAAAAAGCGCTTAGAGACAGACCTCGGGAGAAAGCTTAGAATCTGCCAAATAAAACGATACCTAACTCGATCCAGTTCAATCCGATTTTGTCAGTCATAGAGCCTTTGCCGTAAACAGTGTTTGTGAGTCGAAAAATCAACACAAAACACTACACGACACATAACACTCGGAGGGTTGATGTAGATAAGACACAACACCTAGTTTGCCATACTAAAAACAAAGATTTGGGCTCAGGTGTAATTTGTAAAGAGGTTAGGCCCATAAAAGTCATGGGTGTGTTGATTGACAGCAGCCTTTCTTGGTCAGCTCACATTGATTTAGTATGTTCAAAACTGTCAAGAGTTATTTATTTAGTGAATAGGTTAAAAACTTTTGTTTCTGAGAAATATATCCGAGTAGCCTATTTTGCATTTTTTCAGTTAGTGTTAAGCTATGGTCTGATTCTCTGGGGTAACGGTAGTAATATAAGTGATGTTTTGTTACTTCAGAAAAAGGCACTTAGAATAGTAACCAAATCAGCTCTCAAAGCCCATTGTAGACCTTTGTTTATAAAAACTAGGATATTGACTGTCATTAACCTGTACATATATGTGTGTTTACTTGATGTCAAATTAAAATTAGGAGACTTGGCTGTTAGAAAAGATTTCCATTCTCATTACACTAGACCTAACTCTCTAATTGAAATTCTGTCCCATAGACTAAGTAAATGTGCCAGTAACCATTCAACCATGAGCTTAAAGTTATTCAATGTATTGCACTCTGAATCAAGAGCGTTGCCTGAGTTGGTTTTTAAAGATAGGCTATACAACTGGCTTGTTGAACATCCTTTTTATGTGTTTTTTTTATATAAAAAGTTGTTAAGTTTTGATGTTTAATAGTTTATCTAGCATATTCTCCACCCAGCCTACAGCCTTCTTTTTACTTTTAAACTTTACTGTGTAACCCTATTTTACCATAATATGTGACTATGTCTATTGCAAGATTGTTTTGCTTAAGGACAATAAAGGATTTCTGATTTCTGATTTTCTTATTTCTGATATCCGAGAAAATTGAGGTCAAGGGTGTTCAGATAACAGATTGTTGGATCAATGACAGGAAAAATGGGCACAAATATGGAATTTGATTTTCGACCCCAGCTAGAATTAAAATCTTTAGGCCACTTGAGAATCAATAGATTTAAGATTCCACTACTAAGCTTCTACAATATCAATGATTGTCTGTAGTTTGACCTGTGGCCGATGAACTTGTGTAGAGCGTCTTCCAGTTGTGCATCAAGCTGGTCCTGAGTGGCGGGGGGAGGTGTGTGTACCAGGTGTAGTATCAGTTTACGTACACTCTCCAGCAAGGCGGGGCCACATGTCTCCCCAGCCTGTGACATGATGAACGGCAACATCTCCGTCAAAACACTGCGCACCTCTCTGTCTAGCTTGGCACAGTTCTGAAAACCAGTCAATAGATACAGTCACTAGACCTTCGGTATTAATTCAATGTGTGGATACTTTGCACCCCAACAAATAGTAAAACATATTGGTAACGGGAATGTTGCTGAAAGTCAACAGTCCCGGAAGATCAAATAATTTATACCTGTGCCGCTAGGTCAAAAACTACAATGTTTGCAGTGTCAGTAGATCAAAAGTCCCAGTAAGTCAAATAGTACAGTCCGAGCTAAAAACGTGGTCTATGTTAAAGCATTTGACTTATTGGGAATTTGACCTAATGCAACAGCAGTTTTAATATAACGAAATACGGTAAAATACAAGTTCAGTTTCGCTGAGTCAACAGTGCCGGAAGATCAAAAGCAATAAAAGTGAACGTCGATTCAGTGTAAAGTAGACCTCCTGCAACGCTTACTACACCAACAAAACTCGCTTTTAGTTACTTCGTGTTTTGTCATAATTAGAATAGAGCTAAAATTATCATATTTGGTACATAGCTTATCTATTAATGCTTCTTGCCAACTGTTTGGTCAACACTGTAAATAGGTATAGCCTTTCGTCAAAATGTGTGGCATAAAATACACGCAAGGACGATCTGAAAATTTCTGGTTATTATGTACGTTTGTAAAAGGAGATCCATTTAATTTTAGAACTATTTTATGAGTTATAGTGTAGTCTACACATAAACTGTGTAAATGTATTACGCCTCGGAAGGGTTGAAACCTGTCCAAACTATCATATATATTATTAAAACGTAAATGAGGTTTGTTCACATTCTGAATCAACCAGTCTACGGATTTTCATTATTTTTGTGTTGAAAGAAAGATAATTTTGAGATCTAGTGAATGTCAAAGCCATAATTATAATTAAGGGTCCAAGTTTTTTTAGAAATAAAGTTTTAATTTTTTAAAAGTCTAGCAGCCGACGCTAACCTTCTAAGCCAGCTTTTAGTACAATATAATTTGCTTAACATAACAGCTGTAAACATTCAGCATTTGTGACACAAATTCAGCATTTGAAAACAAATTTAAAGACATATTTAGAGTTGACTTATTTATACTATGTTTAATGCTGACCATTGATACATTCAATTCTTAGGTATGAGGATGGCAGATTATTTAAATTTGCATAGAAAAATAGTAGGATGTTCAAATTATTTTTTAAAGGAATCTTTGTAATCATCGATTTGTTTTAGTCCCATATAATTTGTTTTAACTAACAGCTGGTTGAATGTAATATTGTTCTATATAACTATTAGGTTTTTGGCGAATTTCCCATATAGGGAATAAGCTATTACCGTAGTACTTATGGTAACACCTGGACCCGGGACCGATTTAATTTTTCGTTTTGAGGTCCCTAGAGGCCAAAAACACCATCCGTTCAAATTCATATTTACAGGGTGATCAACTCAAGGAGGCCACCATTCGAAGTCGGAAACGGTAAGAATTAGAGAAAACATTAAATGGGGGACATTCCTTTATTTTTTGTGGCAGTTAAAAATATGATTTTAGTTTTTTTATCATGTTTTCGGATAGAATATGCAATTTAAAAACTTTTTTAGCCTTGACACTTTTTCGATAAACCCACTCGTTTAGGAGTACAGCCTATGGAAAAATGACTTCCGGTGTACATTTTACATCATGTAGCTCCTAAACGAGTAAGTTTAGAGCAAAACTGCAAAAATTAAATTAGTCTTAGAATTGCATCTTCATTCCTTAAAGACTATAAAATAAAAAGTTTTCCACTTTTCAAGTTTGCCGCCATTTTTTTTAAACAATATAATTTATATTTTTAATTAATTTTATGGTCTCTTTGGAATGTGGATGCAATTGTAAGACTTTTTTACTCCTTGTATTTTTGCTATAAACTTACTTGTTTAGGAGCTACATGATTTAATATGTACACCGGAAGTCATTTTTCCATAGGCTGTAACTCCTAAACGAGTGGGTTTATCGAAAAAATGTCAAGGATAAAAAAGTTTTAAAATTGCCTATTATGTCCGAAAACATGATTAAATATAGGGTGTTCGATAAGAAATTTCAAATTTGCCGGCTGAATATCAAACGACTAAAATCATATTTTAAACTGCCACAAAAAATAAAGGAATGTCTTCCATTATAAGTTTTCTCTAATTTTTACCGTTTCCGATATCCCAATGGTGGCCTCCTTGAGTTGATCACCCTGTATAGTCTATATTTATTTATTTATATATTTTTCCCGGGGGGAACCCCAAGACCCCCCTCCTTTTTGGGGGGTAATCCATACCCCCCAGGCCCCCGGTGACCCCCCCCCCCCCAAAATATATGTCTAGGAGCGCCCTTGTCTTCTTTACCTATAAAACACATGGGATACAGCCTTTTCTTCACTGATCACGTAATGCGTGATTTTCTATAAAGTCCTGGAAAAATAAAAGGTAAAATAGATAGAATAAAGGTGTACTGTATGTGGTTTACACAAAAATATTCATCAAACTGTGTGATATTTTGTTATTGCAATGAACAATTTGGGAGTATCGTATTGTTTAAGTCGATGGAAAATCTCTGTTGATCCTGTTTTACAAGCAAACCAAAAAGATACATTAGTCACCACTCTATGCGACATATTCTAACCAGAAAATTTTAATCGTATGATTCTATAAGCATTGATAGGATTGCAAAGTACTTCACAAACATTATTTCAAGGGTAATAACAGTCACAATTTCCGCCGACTTTAAGAGTCAACTAAACTACTATACTAATGGACACACAACTAAATGAAACAACTAATGGAACAACTCACGATGTACATATAACAGTTCGATATAAGCATTGAGTATACACGTCAGTACATACAGTACGTGTATACCCAATGATATAACCAACGGTTCTTGCAATTTATTGCTTATTGTTTTAGCGAATTTCCCATATAGGGAATAAGCTATTACCGTAGTACTCATGGTAAGACCTGGACGCGGGACCGATTTTTTTTTTCGTTTTGTGGTCCCTAGAGGCCAAAAACACCATTCGTTCAAATTCATATATATATATATATATTTATATATTTATATATTTATATATTTATATATATATATATATATGTGTCCGTTAGCACGATAACTCAAGCAAAAATGATCCGATTTTGATGAAATTTGGTACAAACGTGTAAACCTACGTTTATTCGAACGAGTTCGCGATCCAGCATGATCGGATCATGGGAACGGGGGTTTATGGGGGGTTTTATGGGGTAAAAATAGGTTTTTCCCATTTTTGACCCAAAAAACATAAAAGTTTGCAATTTCTTTCCAAACCATTTTGTAGAGCTTAAAAAAACAAATAATTTAGTATATTGAAGCGTTATTATGCGCGTAATGGTTACGGAGAAAATTCCAAAAAATTGTAAATTTAAAATTCCCATGTTATTCTTATGGAGAATAAGTAAACTGTTGTAGTTTGCTTGTTTATGAACATATTTTGATCAAATTTGGAAAATGTTTTTATTTCTTACTAACTATTAACATTTTACAAAAAAAAAAGTTTTACCCTCCCTGATGCAGCAAACCTAAGTACTTGTTAAACTAATTCTATTTAAATCGGGAATAAATGTTATATTTTTAAGTAGACATTTCAGTGTACATCCAATCAGTCAAATGGAAATTCGCTTAGTCTGCAGGTTTGCTGCGGCGGGGGTATTTTAGAGTTGTTTTCGGAATTACTCTGTTTTCGGACGTACTCACACTCGTATAAGGTTGTCCACGTTTGTCATTGATAATGTAGCCATGTTACATGGTTACACCCGTTGTCAAGAATATGTTTACAAGTTTTCCGTCTGTTTATGAATAGCGATACAATTTTTCACATACTTAAGAACCACCTGATTTCGTGCATTACATGTTCGTCTCAATTTTAATTGCTTTAGTAGGCATTATTTTGGTTGATAAGGACTTCAATCGGTCCTTTCAATGATAGCTCATGAAATATAGTACTTTGTCCATCAATTTTATTGTTTGGTAAAATGGATTAAATTATCCAGCAAACCCAAATTGTAATAGTAAATATAGTATTTGAAACAAATCAGTAACATGTTAATAATGTAACCTACATTATTTCCTTGAATTGCATAACAGCAATTAACTGGGCTGATCCTAATATAAATAAATCAATATGTTCTTCATAGGCATAACATGGGTTCATAACATGAGCCGCTGGGGCTGAGTCCAAGGGATTTAAAAATGTAAGGTTGGTTTGCAAATGTACGTGACACACTCTTTCTAATGAGACATGAATGGTCAAAATCGCCTAAGAAATTCGGAGGAGTTCAACGGAAAAATTTCGTGTTGGCGTTATACAGTATGGTTGAAAAGTCCTGGATTGGCTATATTTTTTTAACAATTTAGATAAAGTAGTGAGACTTGGTATATCAATAATAGCCATAAATATCTACTGTCTTAAGCTATTATCACTTTTTAATCCCTTAAGGGGGATGGACCACAAAGACTAAGACAAAATTCTTATAGTATAATTTTAATACTATTTTACCTGTTTTTGAAATGGCGACCATACAAATGTATGCATTTTAAGCCAAGTATGAATGGAGTTGAGTGTGTGATGAGTGGAGCGATCTTGTTGTCCTGTTAGTGACTAAGGCCGACGTAATCCTTAGACACAGCTGTTAATTAATAGTCCATACAGTCAATTAATAGCAGCAGAGGTCAAGTTTGGTAGGTATCAAATTTAAGGTTTTATTTATAAAAATATATTGCCGCAAACCCAAACTCAAACGATGATGATGATAATAATGTTAATGATATACTGTAGCTAAAACGTATCGTTTGAAATTTAACAGCTGAAAATAAGTTAAATAGAAAAGGTTTTGGTTAAATCCATCAAATTGTTATTGGACACTAGTAAGCACTAGTGCACTTTATTATATTGATTTACTTTGGATTTTAAAAATGTGAACGTTTTATTTTATTAAAGATTTATGGTGATACGTAAATATTGTAGTGTAGTAAAGTATATTATATTGTAGTTAAGTGTTAAATTTTGAAATTTTAGGGTGAATCGAGATGAATCTTTTTTTATAACATGGGTCTCTCCTACCTACATACCAAGTTGGATACATACCAAGTTTCATAAACATCGGTTGGAAAAGTGTAAAGATAAATATTTGTATGTAAAAAATACAAAATGGCGGATATATGGTTAACGAAACGATTTTGGAAAAAAATGTTATCCTTCATTTTCTGTTTATTTTGACCCAAGGAATTACTAGGTAAAGTATCTCCCCGCTTATTTTTAACACCCTGTTTATGATGTATTCTTATAAGTGAAAAATGTAAGCTGGTAATACAGAAAGATGTTTTATAAATAATATGAATGTACTGGTGATCTGTATATTCATATTTTTCTTGTTCTTAGAACTGTAAATTAAAAGTCCACTCAGCAGTCGCATCGTACGATGTAGTTCTTTCCACGTGTTGCGAAATGTTAAATTTGCCGTCCTCTTCAACCCAAGTTATCTATTGAACCACTGATTGTAAAAATTCAAAAAAATATATTTTACGCATCACACCTTTGGCTACAACTTTGCCACAGACAAAACCTCTCTAACCCAAAAACAAAAAAAATCTCGCATGCTAACTTTTTCATGTTAGAAATCACGATTTTAAACTATTCCACCATACATATCAATTTTTATTAATTAGATCGGTAAATAGTTTAAAGTTCCAACAAAATAGTCATCGAGTAGGACTAACCAAGAAGCTCTGTGCCAATTTTCAAAATTTTAGCACAACTTTAAGTACACCGAAACACGAAATTATTGAAGTCATGCGTCGAGAGGACTATCGTTGTTTTTAACAGATTATACTTTTGACCTTCCGGCACTGTTGACTCAGCGAAACTGAACTTATATTTTATCTTATTTCGTTATATTAAAACTGCTGTTGCATTAGGTCAAATTCCCAATAAGTCAATTGCTTTAACATAGACCACGTTTTTAGCTCGGACTGTACTATTTGACTTACTGGGATTTTTGATCTACAGACACTGCAAACATTGTAGTTTTTGACCTAGCGGCACAGGTATAAATTATTTGACCTTCCGGGACTGTTGACTTTCTGCAACGCGTCCTTGGTAACAAGAATACGTTGAATTTTATAGTACAGTAGATAGCTAGTAGTTTTAGCTTATCCGGATTGGCCTTGTCTGGACTCCTGCTAGTTTAAATTGGCAAACATGATTTTTTTTTGTGGCACAGTAAAGTCTGATTATCCAAGCTTAACAGGGCTGAGACTACCTCGGATAATCAAAAACACGGATAACACAGCGGTAAAAATTATAGGTTATAATTAGACAAAAATCATATTGACCTGGAGAATACGGTTTATTATTAGCCTAAAGTAATAAGTGATTATGATTAAATAAAAAGATATTTCTCTACCAACTCGTACCAACAATCGATTTATTACAGTAGAGTCCCGCAAACTCGGCACTGGATAACCTGGCAGTCTGGATAACTCGGCCATCACCTGGCTCAGAAAATTAGTGATTTTTTGAGTCCGAGTTAAACATGGACACAAGCCAGCTCAAGTAAAATCATTTGCAACTCGTACTAAGGATTTGTTGTACTATATCTGATGACTTAATACTGACTTGTAATATAAATCTAATTTAAAAATTCGGTTAAAACGCTTAAAAATTGTTTTACTCTTATTTTTAACTCTAGTTCCCGATATTTCACAAACTCGGCACCCTTTCAGTCCACATTACACAGAGTTTGCGGGACTCTACTGTATTGGTGGAACTCCATTTACCCAGCTATCAGTACTGTGGACCTGGAACAAAATTTTAAAAAAACCGCTATGTACAGTACTGCATTTGCCTTAGTTAACCCGGCGGCTCGTATAATCGGACCTCGGATAATCTCATTTTGCTTCTTAAGGCGTTCTTTGCAAAATCTGTAGCAATAATCATATAGTTCATAAAACCAGCCGACTGTATTTTTTTACGATGAGTTGTAACTTGTTTTAGACGCTCTCGTTTGTATTAGCGCGTGTTTTGACAAAACCGCTCACCGTAACAGTAAAATTTACATATATTTGCTCGACTCTCGATAGTCCGGATTTTTTGCAATCCAGAACGGACGTCTGCCAGATTAGTCCGGATGAGCGAGACAATCAGAAACTGGATTGATTGACGTAAGTTGCAATTATTAATTAAAACATCAATCCGTTTGCTACAAATCATTCTCTTTAGTTGTAGACCTATCTATGTGTGCTACTCACAGATGGTAGTTGTGGCGGTGGTGGAGGTGGGGGAGGGGGAATAGTTTCTTTCTGTGTCCAGTTACGTGTTTGAGGTTGATGAGAGAAGCTGGCGAGATAGTCAGGAGCTGCCACTGTCTGAGTACTGACCGACTCCTCACTCACCACACCCACTCCCGCTCTACGCTCCTCCTGCAGAGAAAAGGTAAAAGTCACATACAGGGATTTAATACTTTAAACTTACGACTTGATACAGTACCAGAAACTTAAATACAATTGACATACAAGGAAAACCATCTCAAATATTGAGAAAATAGCTCAAAAACGAAAGTACAAATAAGGAACTAAAGCTGGAACTAAAGTACAAATGTGTGACAGTGTAGTAGTGCACTGTACTTAAAATACAAAAAAAATTCCTCCTTGCCCTCGATGTGCCCTGCACCTCTTGACTAAGATGATTCTTACGGAACCCCAATAAAAAAAGTCAAATAAAACGGTAAAACAGTTTTGTGTTAAGCTATTCAGATAATTCTTCAACAAAGTGCAAACATTTTCAGTAGAAGTAAAGAGGGGTTTGAAAAATGTGTTCTACTGCAATACCCTTTCAAATTTAGCCCAGTTGCTACTTGTCAGGGCTTACCAGCCTATGTTTACCTGAGAGGAACGAGATGCCAAGGCGTGTATTGTAGAAGACAGAGTGGCCTGCATGCCAGGGTCTGGACATGAGCTGAGCAGTCGTAGGTCCTTGAACAGCTGCAGTAGGTATTGTGGTCTCCACTCATTCACTGATATCAGAGCTGCGACCTCAGAGTACACACACTCCTCCAAAGTGTCCCCACTACCACTGTAGACAAAGTTACACTCTTGTCAAATATAATTACAGTGCATTGACACAATTTTGTTTGTTGTAATTTTGTTTGGTAACGAAGAAATTTTATATTAAGGTAAGGTTGAAAGAGAGTACAAGAATGTTTGACGAGCCTTCGATGATGATTAAAGGACTTTTGTAGCCTACAGTGCAATTGATCAAATATGTGTTTTAGCTCTCATTATCATGAAAACATTAAACTAAAAGTATTTAACTGATCATATTTGTTTGCAGAACTTAACAGGAAAAATGTTACTCAATACAATTAGGGCAAGGAAATTTGATTTGATCTTTTGATTGAATGCCTGAAAATTAATTTATCTCTACTCTGTTTACTGTCCTGTACTTTGTCAAGTGTGGTCATGGTTTTAGTGCATACAAAATACAACGAAGTTTCAATTGTGGTCTACCTCAATTGTCCAAATGCATCATCTACCACTGTCTCAGTGACATTTCAAAAGTTAGTTTAATTATGCGTTCAAGCATTTCAGGTTTCAATAGATACAGTGGAAAGAGGTCAAAAACTAATTACACTAATGAAATGAAAAATTCCTCCCAATCTTCCAGGTTGGGTTTAAATAGTCATGGATAAGATACAAAGATCCTAGTCCAGTAAAAATCATACCGGTACCAAATCTTAAGATATCTAAACACCTCCAGTTTCAGAATTGCTCAACAATACTCAAATTATACTTTGTACGTAAACTCATAGTACATATACAGTGTAATATAATGTAAGCTTAAGACTTGTAACACCCACCTAGCATCAGTCTTACAGTCCTTGGAGAGGTTGCCTCGGTTGTCCTTGCGTCTGACACCCTTGTCTGAGGCCATGAGACAGTAACCGTCCCCGATGCAGTTCTGTTGTTGGTGCAGATTGTTGCTGTTGTTGCTGCTGTTGTCGCTGATGCTGTTTATGTTGCGAGGATGCCTCCTCGGCAGGTTGATTGCCCGAGAACTGTCAGCTTCCGTGTTGCTCTATTGAAAAAATTATTGGTTCTCATGTAAATATTTGGCTAAATCTTAAATTAATTTCTACAAACAGATTTTTCTTAAGATAAAGCTTTCTCATTACTATGCAAGAACATACCATTTAGCTAGCCAGCTATATGATGACTTTATTAGGCCTATACTTAAACTAAATTGTAACAGCTCACAAATTAGCTACAATACTATCAGTTTCTTATGTGTATTTATGTTTTGGTAGGCGTAACTACTAGTGAATTGATCAAAATTCACATCTAAGTGTAGGCTTTGGATTGTCATACCTCGCTGGGTTCAGTATGATAGTTGTTCAGCTGGCTGATTTTGGCCTCCCTGGCCGGGATGTCGATGTAGTTGCGCTTGTGTTTGTTTGCACCGCGTGGAGCCTCACAGTCGTTCACCAGACGCATACCTTCTGACTCACTATATGTGTTGTTGTGTGGAGAATACAAAACTTGTCTGCCTGTAAATCAGATATATGTACAGTTACTGAAGTCACACTGTGTTTGTTTGCACCGCGTAGAGACTCGACGTTCTGTACCCACGAGCACCTCAGCTTCCACATGCACAGAAGCGCACAGAAGGCCTTGGAACAGCTCCTGGGATAACAGCTTTTTGTGTAACAGCTTCACTGTATATCTTTATTGGACCTGGTTAGATAGTTATTTCTTTTAACAGTTGCGAACTGTGCATTGTAATTTTGTAAAGGTGTTTATTCTTTACTGTTTGTTTACTTTTGACTTGAGCTTTGAGCTGATTGAAAAGGTGTTTCATGATTATGAAAATTAAAGTGCTGTGAGTGTAATGAACTGACTCACTATAGGTGTTGTTGTGTGGAGAATACACCACTTGTCTGCCTGTAAATCAGATATATGTACAGTTACTGAAGTCACACTGTGTTTGTTTGCACCGCGTAGAGCCTCACAGTCGTTCACCAGATGCATAGCTTCTGACTCACTATAGGTGTTGTTGTGTGGAGAATACACCACTTGTCTGCCTGTAAATCAGATGTATGTACAGTTACTGAAGTCACACTGTGTTTGTTTGCACCGCGTGGAGCCTCACAGTTGTTCACCAGATACATAACAATGAAGTCAGGTAAAAATTCTATAAATGTAATAGATGCAGATATGAGTCATGCTATAGACGAGCTGTGGGCAGATCGCACACTAGCTTTTGGCCACTCATGATCGGCAGATTTCAACGATCCCAAGCATATGTCTGCTGGTTTAGCATTGGTGTTTAGACACAAATTTGGCAGACCACAAATGACAGACTTGGATGGCAACAATTGAACTTGTCAAACACCGTTGAATGGAGCTGCAGTGTAACAATGTAAATGATATGTGTAACAAAAATTTTGTGTGGTTAATGCATTTAAACACTGAATGAGGGATAATTAATACAAAAATTAACCAAAATTAATTTTAGATAAATCAAACATTTCAATTATTTGTTTAAATGAACATTGGCTTGGAAATTATAATATTGGCATTCTAAATAGTTTTACAAACTAAACTCGGCTCATTTTTATTGTAGGGAAGAGGGGACGAATGGGGGTTCTTGCATTATGATAAGTTCAAATTTGAAATATAGTGTGTGGCATGATTTGTGTGTTTTTAATAAAGATTCTGTCTTTGAAGTTTATTGTATTGAAGACAATAATAGGTTTTTTACATACCTCAGTCAAATAGTCCAAAAATGGTAATGCTCAACAGCTTACATGTTTCGTTGCGAAGACAACATTATCAAAGCTTGCAACTCGTCAAAAACACATTTAAAACACGAACACGAACACAGAAGACATTAATACGGTACGAATACACAATTGACATTTAGATAGCGCTATCATAATACTGATTTGGTCCGGCGCGGCGCGGGGCTGGTAGCAGACATGTCTGCTACCAGCCCCGCGCCGCGCCGGACCAAATCAGTATTATGATAGCGCTATCTAAATGTCAATTGTGTATTCGTACCGTATTAATGTCTTCTGTGTTCGTGTTCGTGTTTTAAATGTGTTTTTGACGAGTTGCAAGCTTTGATAATGTTGTCTTCGCAACGAAACATGTAAGCTGTTGAGCATTACCATTTTTGGACTATTTGACTGAGGTATGTAAAAAACCTATTATTGTCTTAACAATATAGTCCAGGGGCCGAAAACATGAATTTTTATTGTATTGAAATTGAAAGTTTAAATATTATTGCAGGTTCTGTTTATAGAACACCTCATGTTGAAAGTTTTAAATCTTTTCTTTATAAATTAGAGAGTTTATTGCAAATTTTAACAAAAGCCACAAAAACAAATGATATCTATATCACAGGAGATTTCAATGTGTAGACATTTTACAACACTGTAGCGAAAATAGACAAAAATCAGACTTTATTTCGTTTTTAAAACAGTATGGATTTAAATGCAATTTTTTCGAACAACATCTTAACATTTGAAATAAAATTTCAATAGCCAGTTACAATGAATATAGATTTGGGTCTCTCGAACAATAGGGCCTTATTTATGAATATTTAAAGTAAAATCGATGTCATATAAAAAAAGTTGAAATCAAAAATGTAAGAAACGAATATTAGGGAAAGAGCCAGCCTACTTTTTCCAATATCAAGGGGGCTGACAAATCCATTATAAATTCAAAGGAAATTGCAGAATATTTTAATAACAAATTTATAAATATAACAAATCAAATTGGATTTTCCTCTTCTGAAAGTGAGGCAGTACAACTGACTATAAAATCAATAGATCAAAAGCAGACCACAAAATTTGACTTTCAATTTATAGACGTGAAGGATGTTATTAAAATTATTAAATCTTTCAAGAATAAGAAGTCATCAGTCTGGGACGAAATACCACTAAATTTGGTCAAAATTGCTTCTAAATTCATTGCAGAACCACTCTCTATCATTATAAACCGTTTGTTGACAGACAACAGACGAAAACTAGACCAGCTCAACAAGTGAATTTGCGATCAGCTGTTGTCTAGTAGTACTTAAGAAACGAAGGATTTTATTCAGACAGGAATATTCGTTCGCACGCTTTCGACCAGTTAAAAACGCCGTTACCTTACACTCTACGTTCATCGTATTCCATACATCGATCGCCGATATTACGAAGGTTAGCTATTCCAATAGTTAGGCCATTTCTACGTTTTACTTTATTTTCGTTCAATTTCGTTTCAGAATTCGATTAGACAGATCTAAATTTAATAGCTTAGATTTTACCTACTTGAGTCTAGACCTGCCAGTTCCTGCCTGAACCGTGACTAGCGGTGGCTATAGTTAAGTTTTATTTTATCTAATTAGTTTCAAAATTAAGATTAATCCTTTCGCTTAACGAATAATTATTACGTACGTTTTAGTTAATTCGACGTTTAATTCCCCGAGACTTGTCATCTGAGTTCTAAACCCCGTATTTGGCAGGTGAAAGAATCAAGTCTGGGACTAGGGTGATTTGACAATCAGCTGCGAATATTAATATTAAATCTATTTTAAATCATATCACGCTAAATTCTCCGTTCAATTATATTAATTAGGCCCTGATGACTCTGTAGGAATTGCTTTTTACATTATATTCTATTTTATATTATTTATAGACGTCTTTAACCAAACAGTTTAAAGTTCAATACAAGTAGTTTTATCAAATTGGCTAAGATAGAATACTTGTCGGTTCTACAGAGTTAATCCAAAAGTTAGGCAAAATTTACCAAAACACTTTAGCGAAGGTGAGGAGGAAATAGCTCCTACTGAGTGTCTGCAGGATTTCGTGAGCGCTTCTAGAGCTCTGAGCCTTCGATTAAATTTAAATAAATTGATTAGTCAAAGCCGTGACAACTTCGTATCGACCCCTGGATTTTTCTCGGCTCCTTCTGAGCCCTCTGGGGAAGAAATTTGAGTGTGGCCTGTTCTAGGGGTAGGCCTAGCCTGACTTTGGTAAATAATAGTTTATTCCCCCCCCCCCTAGAATTTTGCGTCACACCTGAAAACTTAAAATATGCTGAACTAAAACCTCTTTTCAAAAATGGAGAGAGACAAAATCCAGACAATTATAGTCCGGTTTCACTATTACAAACATTATCAAAAGTGTTTGAAAAATGTGCTTCTCATAAAATATTTTCATTTCTGGAAACCCACAATATTTTTTCTAACAAGCAGTTTGGGTTTAGAAAGGGTCTAGGCACCATGAAAGCACTCTCAGTCTTGGTTGAGGATGTGTCATGGGCCTTGGATGGGTCACATAACACAATGGGTGTGTTTTGTGACTTATCCAAGGCGTTTGACTGTGTCAATATACTCATCAAAAAACTAGAATTATATTCCTTTTCTGTAATTCAGTATCATGGTTAAAATCTTACCTAAATAATCACCATCAGAGAACAGTCATTTGTAAGGATAATTTAAAAGCAAAATCAAAATGGCAAAAATTAAAAAGTGTGTGCCTCAAGGTACGATTTTGGGGCCACTTCTATTTATTATATACATTAATGACCTTCTAAAAAATGTTTCAAATAATCTAATTCTCTATGCAGATGATACTACTGCAGTAGTAAAAACAAAAAACAATTATGAATTAAAACATAAAATTGAAGAAAGCCTAACCGAATTAGGAAGTGGTTTGAGATCAATGGTTTGAAAATGAATGAAGAGAAAACGATTTTGTACACCTCAATCAGTTGCAATCATTGATCAATCCCAACCAACTGATGATAATGTAAAATTTTTAGGTCTGTATATTGCTACACATTTGACCTGGAGTAAGTGCATTCAGTCAGTATTGGAAAATAAAATTCAGCTTGTTTTCAAATATTGTGCTTAAGAAATTCCATGGATTTAAAAACTTCTATCATGCTATATTATGCATTCTTTTACTGAATAGCACAATATGGGATTATATTTTGGGGATTTTCCTCTAAAATTGAAAGAGTGTTTAAAATTCAAAAGAAAATTATAAGAATTATGACCTTTTTACCATGTAAAACATGCAAAACGGTTTTTAGAAAATTGAATATTATGACTATTCCAAATTTAATAATTTACAAAACATTGTTAGTGGTGCAGTCAAATTTTGATGACTATATTAGTGAAAACTTTGACCACATTTATAACACCAAATTTTATGAATAATTTTCAATACCCGAGACACAGTTTGAAGCTTGTAGAAAAAACTCATAAATATATGGGAAAAAAACTTTAATAAGCTACCCACAACTCTAAATCATAATGAATCTTTTAAAAGCAGCCTTGCTGATTTTCTGAGATGTAAAACATGTTTTACTTTAATTGTTCAGCAAATTTTTACAAATTATTTAAAGGTATTTTAGGGCACAAGACATATTATTGTATATTTTAGGTAAGTTTTTAATCATGAAAATGTCATCTGTTTTTTAGCTATGCTATGATTCAAAACGTTACGTGACAATAAAGAAATATTTATTTATGTACAGTTACTGAAGTCACACTGTGTTTGTTTGCACCACGTTTAGCCTCACAGTTGTTCACCAGACGCATACCTTCTGACTCACTATAGGTGTTGTTGTTTGTAGAATACACCACTTGCCTGCCTGTAAATCAGATATATGTACAGTTACTGAAGTCACACTGTGTTTGTTTGTACCACATGTAGCCTCACAGTTGTTCACCAGAGACATACCTCCTGTCTCACTATAGGTGTTGTGTTTTCAGAAATATATAATCAAATGACTATGACTACAAACTACTTGGTAAATATAAAATAGTTCGAGAACAAAGTAGAGAACTGGCATGCTACCTACCATGTGAAGGAAGAGACAAATTGTACTGGTGGCCGCTAGCTTCCCCCTCCCCCTCCTCCTGGTGTACCTGAGCTCTTGTCATCAGCTGATTTACCTCCCCCCGCACCAGCCTCTCCTTCCTGCTCCTGTACAAACACCATACAACAGTAAACAATCAATCAAAAACTAATAAACTTGAAACAGATTTTGTCTTTGTAAGCTGTGCAAAATAAAAAATAAAATAAAAAAAACTATTGACTTGGAAGGTAAAGAATGCGTGCATTTAGCTTGGTTAGGAATTTTTGTGCCATAAAATATGAAAAAAATGTAAAAACCGTTAACACTAAAAAGTCTAGTAACCCGGATCTAATTGCTGATAAATTGTAGTAAGCTGTTTCAACTAAACAAAATAATATGAAGACCAATTTGCTTGAAAGTAACAAACAAGTTGATGTATTTGGCTCGACCAAAAATTCTTAGAACATTTGGGGAACTCATTTTAATTAATTTTCTGAAACATCAGGTTTTAATAGGCGTATACAATATAATGAATTTACCTCAATTGTGTTTAAGGTTATTCTTAAATAGTAGTTTACACAACGATCACGTAAAGATAGTCTTAAAGGCTAATTACGCGAGTTGCATACACTACTTTACCTACGACCGTTTTTAAAATACTAACAATCAGTAGGCCTACTCATAACGTCTAAGAGAGGTTATGTTTTCGTTTATAACTTCTCACTGCCACTGATTGTGATGCAATGACTCATTGTCCCAACCACTCACTCATTGTATAATCAATTAAATTAGCCTTAACCATTTCAAATAATTAGGCTGGCCACATACTGCTGCAGTTGAGGCGAGGCAAGGCGACGTGAGGCAGTTTTCTCGACTTGCCTTGTCGTAAAGCGGACACACACAGCAGATGCTGAGGCAAGGCCACGCACACCTCGTGGACACTAGACATATAGCAAGTCCAGATTGGTGAAAGTCACGTGACCTTGCGCATGCTCAGAACCGGGACAGTAGCGAATCTCGATGAAACTAATTTTTGACTGCTTCTTTTTTTACGAAAGGCGACTTTCCGCCTCGCATCTTGCAGTGTATGGTACTCCGTAAACGCCCATGTGTTATTTGTCGTTCAAGACGCCTTTAGTCAAAATGTCTCGCCTCGACTGTTGCAGGGTGTGGTCGGCCTTACAATTTTACATCTTTTCTCTCAATCCTTGAACCTCATTGGGCCAAACCCCCAAAGCAGAATGGTTCCTACGTGTCTGCAACGGCCTGTGAAAACTTCAAAATGTGTCCGCAAGCGCTAAAACTAAAAAGCTAAATAATGACTTATATACCGGTGTATATATATATATCCACTCTTTAGGGGTACTAGTAATATAGTTAAATAAAATAAGTAAATTTCAATAACTTGTATAGCCTACTTTTAAAACAAAAACCTATTAAGGGGTAGGCATAATCAGGTTATTTAAATTTACTTTTTTTTTTAAATACGTATATATATATACACATACCTTAACAAGTGTTAAGCCACCTAATGTTAGTAACCACCTAATAAATACTGTATTCACATATAACAATAAGTTTAGGTTTAGAGTTGTAAAAAACATGGATTAATTTTTGTCAATTATACTGTTTTGTTTTTTATTGTATACAAAAAGTTTGTATACAATTTAATAAAATAAATAATATTTTTATTTGGTAAACTGAAAAGTTATTACAGTAAAACTTGAATAATTCGAACCTCAAGGGACCAGCTAAAAACTTTAAATTATCCAACGTGCAGAGGGAGTGAGGGAGTATAAGGTACAATGACCTTTGGGCGGAACACGCCGCGCCGTCTCAGTTGCAAGCAGGGTTGAGCTATTTTTAGAGTGACCGAGTGACCTTCAATGTTCTGCCGGTGGCGGGAGGGGAGGGGAGGCATGAGTCATCAGACAAAAGGCAGGTGGCGCGAGGACTTGCACTTGTTTTAACGCAAACATTTCGTCAAATTTTGCTTGGAATATTTTCAGTCGTAATTATTTAAAAAAATTATTTGCTACTTAAAAATTTGAATTATCCACGATATGTTTGCATTGATTACTGAAATGAAAAATGTTAGGAACACTGGAAAAATTCGTTTAAAGAAGATTTCGAATTAATGATCCAATCCAAACTAACATAGATGAAATATTATTATACAGTGCTAATGGTCCCATGGGTTGTAACTGCGATCGTAATTAAAAACGTAGTCCTCTCGTCCGATTGTAGTTGTGTCTAAAAATAGCGTATCGCTTATCGGCTATTTATAGACACAACACGTTTCTGGATACAGATAAGTCATTTCAATTCCAGGAAAAGATGAAGGATGATTAATAGTTTTGAGAATCGTATCTTTTTCACCTTACCGGGAAATTCCGAAACAAAAACTCTTTGCGCTCGATAAACGATTAATAATTTCCCGAGTTTTATCCCAAAACAATTTGCTCGAAACAAACAGAGCAGATAACACGCTCACGAGAAGGCCGAGAATACATTGTATATTTCACTCATTCGCAAAACCCATTACTCAAATAATGCCAACATTAGTTATAAATTTTACAGTAACAAAGGTCACGCACCCACGCACCACAGAGTTAACACAATAGGGCTGGAATGTCTTTTCTCTTCCGAAATCAACAACGTAATGGCGTTTTTCTATTTCGCAACACTATCGCCAGATACGGTACAGTGCGTCTTCATAGCTCAGTCATCCGCGCGCACTTGTAAGGTGGAGGGAGGGTGGTTGCTGTCTGTCAGGTGACTGCGCCGGGCCAATGGGAGAGCGGTAGGAGGGTGTGGCCTGCAGACAGATACCGAGCGGAGCGGCAGACGGCATCCGGCTGTCGAGCAGCGCGGTTCTCTCCTCTTCGACGTGATGTGTGTAGTATGTAGCGTGTTCACTCGCGCCCGCTTTTCTTTTACTTTGCGATCTTTTTTTTCGTTTAACCGGTAAATTTTGTCCGCGGACAAAGTATTTTTATCTATATTTATCGAGATATTAAAAAAAAATAATTTCAAGCTCGTAAATGTGTCCGCTTTACTTGTCTTTAACTACTTTTACTTTAACTTGGTCTTTTACAAAAAAATCCCAGAAGCGCCTTACAGTAGAACCTCGGTTAACCGAGCCTCGCTTAACCGAGACTCCGGGTTAACCGAGGCCGTCCTCGAACGATTTTTTTTATTTAAAAAGCAAAAGAAACACGCACAAACTACGTACAGTAATGAGCGTTTGGGTGCTCCTTTTATCGCAATACGCACGCTAGCCTGCAATAAGTTAAAACTACTGTACAGTAAAATGTTGGCAACTGTTGTGTTTCCTCGGCCAAATATTTGCGTAGCTTAGCGCTTATCTTTGCCGAATGCATACGGCACTGTCACCCGACACCGCTCGCCAGAGCAGCTGCAGGTGTTGTAACCCGACACCGCTCGCCGCCGGACCAATGCGAACTGTTTCAATGCCGAGACGCGACTGACTGAGCCACTCGCTCTCCCCACCACCCCGATTCGACAAAAGTTTTTTTTACAGCGATGAATCTGATGGGGCGACTGAGAAAATATCACATACAGAAGGTCTAAGAATGATCGAGGGAGCACTGGCATCACTGAGCTATAATTCTAACTGGAGGTAGCACTGAATGTCAAAGATGCGTGTCGCCAGCCGCCATGTTTGCGTGAGGTGTGAGTTAAAATGAAGCCATGTTATTGGATGAAAAAACTCACTGCTATGGAAACCTAGTTATAGAAGCCATGTTATTGGATGAAAAAACCTGCTGCTATACCAACCTAACAAAATCAGCGACACGCTTTTGACAGACTTCTGCAATGGCAGTGCTACCTCCAGTTATAATTTTAGCTCAGTGACTGGCATACATTGAACAACAAGAAACCGCAACAACAAACGATTTAGTTTGGCTGCGACGCTGGCGCAACAGGGCGGCTAGCCTAAGATCCTCTAATCTAAGTCAAAAAACAATAACTGATTTCTTTGGGAAAAAAGATTAGCTTACTTTGTTTATTTGTGTACAATGTACAGTAAATTAATTTTCATTTCTTTGATTTAATTTTGTAAACAGGAATACTGTACTGTAACTAAACTTCTGTACATTGTGTAGCCTATATCATACGTATTCAGTTGTGCAATAAATTGAGTGTTATATTAAAACAGTGTTTAGTATTGTGAGTGTTACCGTTTCCTCTCACGTTTTATTGCGTACTAATAACATTTATTGTACTAATAAACTAAACAACAGTTCAGTTAATAACTTTTGTTCATGTTTTAGTATATCTTGAGCTATTTTTAGCCCCGGTAACGATTTTTAGGTTACGTTCCGTGTTATCCGAGGTTCGCCGTATCCGAGGTACCCTCGGTCCCAATTACCTCGGTTAACCGAGGTTCTACTGTATTACTTTTGAAAACAAAATTTTGAGAAGAATTTTTGGATCAGTAAAAGAAGGAAATGCATGGAGGATAAGGAAAAATAGAGAGTTAAAAGAATTATATGGTGAACCAGATATTGTGGGAATAGTTAAGAGTAGGAGGTTGAGATGGATAGGACATATTAACCGTAGAAGTGAGAGAGAGATGGTAAAGATGGTACTCAGAGGTATACCAGAAGGAAGGAGACCATTAGGTAGACCAAGAATGCGATGGGTTGATGAGGTGACGAAGGATTTGAGAGGAATGGGAGCAGACTTGGAGCTGGCAGAGGATAGACGAGCTTGGAGGCACATGGTTGGCGAGGCCAAAAACCACCTAGGTTTCCAATGGCCACAGGAGTAAGTAAGTAAGTAAGTAAATGTGTCCGCAGGCCCGCGTTTCTCGGCGTTTCGTGTCCGCGACAATGTCGCAACGTCGCTCGTTGTTCTGCTTTGGGGGGCCAAACTTGTACTGTAAAGTAACAAAACAATGCTGTTAAGCAAGCAAACAATACTGTTAAGCGAATCTTTTCAATTCTTAGAACTGAATTGAAAAGGCAATTTTTTTTTTTAAATAGCCATAGGTAATATACATACTATTTCATAACAAGGTTACTTTGAGGTTGAATCAAAAGATATGAATATTTTGTATAACGCTAGTCAACAATGTCCCTCACCTAGGAGGTGGAGGCAGCCCCTCATGATCTGTGTTGAGGAACCTCTCCATGGGTGTGCGTTGTGATTGTTGTTGTTGTTGTTGTGGTTGTTGTTGTTGCTGCTGCTGCTGTTGTTGTTGCAGGCCGTCATTGCTTTTACCACTGTTGCTAAGAAGATTCTGGCGAGAGTAGCTGCAAACATACGAATGGTCAACATTCAACAATATTGTCGTTGCAGCATAATCTGCCTTAAATTTCCAGTTGTTTTACTGAATTAGTTGCCATACAAACAGGCTCACAGCAAATGGAACTTTACACTCAGACCCACTCCTAACATAAATAACATTTTGGTTATGCCAAATGAGTACTTTTGTTGCTGCTAAAACCAAAAATAAAGTGGTACTAAACACCTGTTTATCATAAAGGCTTTGGTTCTGTGTAGTCAATGGTAATAGCTACTTCCCCGTTATGTTATAGTCCTTTACATTCTGAACAAAATGGTACAAATCCCATTTCTGTAAAAAATACGATTCAAAAGTTATTGTAAATTATGTTATTTTCCCATAAAAACCCCATAAAATAACAGAAAAATCAGATTTTCACCAAAAATGGCCCAAATGATTTTGATAAAAATTTAGTATGTCCTCCTTTAAATTCTGATCAAAATTGTACTAATCCCATTTCCGTATATTTACTCTATCAGCTTACACATGATAAAGGTTGTTGACAAACTTATGGGAGAAAGTATGTGTCAGAATGCTGATACCGTTTCTTATAATTGTATAGAATATAAAATTGATGAGTGAATTTAATTACATGGTAAATACATATAATTAGGATTGTGTTGATTCACAATAGCACCAGTGATTGGACATTGATATCGATCATCAAAAGTCGATGTCAATACACAACACATCTGCAAAGTTACCAATTTAGTTGCGATCCCGCATGATGACAGTGAGGTTTCCATGACCGCACCAGATAATGATATCTACACAGCCGTGGGAGATGATCAGAATTTAGCCGTGATTGGAGGAGACAAAGATAATGTCTTCCACAACCACAAGAGATGATCTCTATATTAAGCTTGGCTTGATAGAAAATAGTATGCTGGCACTTTTAATACAATTTTCTTTTTGATATTTGTTTTTAAGATCTTTCTTTACATTTGATATAGTAGGCCTAATTGTATTTAATGTGTTTAGAAGGGGTTGGATTTGAATTGGCTGATAAAATCTTTTCATTGCTGCTATAGGTATCGAGAATAGCGAATCAATTTTTTAAGGTATCGGTATCGAGTATCGATCGATTTTGGTTCCCACACATACATCTCTACATATTATAATTTGCTATTTATGTTGATTAAAACATGTGTTTAGTAAAAGTGTGAGATCAAATTAAAATAGAAAAGAAAACCATCACTACTTCACATTTTAAACCTCCTAGAAGAGCAGGAATCCAAACAACAAATAATAGCTTCAAAATGTTAAGCCAGCACATTCTAAAACTTTAATTATACATCTAAAACCATAGTGTGCATCGAACACCTACCTACTCATACAGCACACTCGCAACATAAACCTTTTTTTGGATCTAGACTAATGCAACCTAATTTGATTAAAGCTAAACATAAATTTCTTTCAGTTGCTATGTGTTAAAAGCAATCAGTTAATGAATGTTTTATTAAGTTTGGATTATTTTTTAACAGTTTCTGACCAATTCTCAGTTAATGACTATTTACTGCAAAACTGAATTAGTGACGCTATTAAATCAAGCTTGGTGGAAGTGCAACTCTGGTGAACACATGCACAAATCAAACCAACCATTTAAAAGTTAACCAACCTTTGATTCAGTTCCAGTGTTTGTGCATATGTTAAACCAGCAGGGGAAGAGAAGGGTAGGTGAGAGGACTGATAAACTGAATGGGAGGAAAATATAATATCTAAATGGAGGATGAAACTGAAAACTGGAGGCCAGTTTGGTAATAGCCGATTAAAAAATAAGAAAAGAAAAGTGGCAAGAAACGTAATACTAGTATGAGAGGTTTAGCCATTTAAAAACTAGTAATTTACAAGGAACAAATTATGAAAGATAAAGAAAAATATGTACAATTTTAATTTAGCTACAAAATTGATAACTTAATTCTATAAAAACTTTAATACTATCACTATTCTGCAATTGGAGATTTTAACTGCTGCTGCAAAACCTTCAACACAAGTAAAATCCTTTTTACAAAATTATATTTACCTAAAAAAAACTGTTGATAAAAATTACCTTCTAAAATTGTCCCAATAGTTGTTAGCCCTATTGCCTGGGGGAACCTGGTTATTCAGGGTAGTGGCAGGCTGTGGTTGCGGATGGAACGGCAAAAACTGTTCCGGAGGGTTAGGAAAAAAATTAACTGGAGATGGAAACTCAAAATTCAGATTGTTTCCGTAGGGTGGATACAGGTTGATAAAGTTGGGGTCTGTAAACTGGGTGTGGGGGTTGAAGTATATATTGGGGTTGGCAGGGTTTGTGTTGAGGGAGGGAGGGAGAGACAGAACTGTCGCAGTGGGAGAAGCTAACAGGTTACGATTGTTGACAGGGGGTGGGGAGGGGGGCGACTGAGGAGAGACTAGGTTAGGTAGGGAGTGAGCGCTCGACACTACGGCAGGTGGCGCGAGGGATGGCTTGACTGCCCCATGATTGTGGTTGTGGTTCTGGTTGTGCGCTCGACCCAAGTTGGAGGGAGGGGATGAAATTTCCACTTGTTGGGGGGAGAACTGAGCTGCCTCTGGGTTCTGGTGGTGCAACTGAAATATACAAACTTGTGTTTATGAAATGAAATTAAATGAAATTAAAAAAGTGCTTTATTAACACAAAAATAAACTGTATAAATACATATCAACTTATAACAAAACATAATCTTCTGCATAGCAAGAAACAAAATTAACTAAAAAAAAATAGCACTTTTCAGCAAAGGTCATGACAAACTTGTGTTTATAATTAATCTACAACTGGATTCAAAGAGCAGAGTAACAATGCAATTAGATCTTTAAACAAATCAGAATAAGACAAAAATGTTTAATTTTGTTGACGAATTGGTTCCCACAAAATATCTTCAGCTAGGAAGAGGATTGGTTTGGAAATGGGATAAGGACATGGTGAGTATTTAGGATGTAGTTATATAGAAAAGTCTAGGTTACACCTTTATGGTATTTTTCACTAACAGTAGAACCCCCATATCCAACCCAATGCCCGACCATCTACTTGTTTCCCGTCTGGGGCGATAACGACGAGCGCGATCGGTTGACCTAAACGCTGATTGCAGATGATGCCGTAATCACTGCAGACAATTATCACTGTCGCTGATAACAGGTTTTGCCGTTGTTGCGGGAGATGATTACCGAAGTTGTAGGGACTGGAAGCTGCAAGTTATGCTCACGGTTGGTGCTACGGTCGCATCGCAGGAGACAATTAGCGAAATTGCGGAGACTGTAGGTTATGCTCATGGGTGTTTTTGTGGTCGTGGGAGACGTTTACCGAAATTGCAATGACTACTAGTTATACTCATGGTGGTTGCCATGGTCGTGGGAGACAATTACCGAAGTAGCAGAGACTGCAGGTTATGCTCCTCAAGATATCCGACCTTTTGGCCGTTCCGACCATGGCCCGGTCCTATCATGGTCGGATATGAGGGGTTCTACTGTACGTTTTTTAATTTCTTGAAAAGTTGGCAGCCTTTTAACCTGGAATCATGAAGCTCATAGAACTTGTCAAGCAAAGCAAGGAGCGAGTCAGTCTTAGTACCAATACAATCTAGAAATTAACAATACTGGTAGATTGTAAGTGGACGTTAACCCTCAACATCACTGCCTTGGTTTCAAAGTTATGATACCGAATGTGCCACCACCACCAACTTAATAATAAACTGTTTAAGACAAAAGTATATCAGGATGGAAGCAACTATGAAACAAAACAGCCAACGTAAAACAGATCGACTCTTTGTGATTGGAAAAACTATTTTTACACATTGTCTCAGTTGGGTAGTGAGCTGTACTGATGGATAAATTGTTTAAAATATTCAATAGTGGAATGGAAACAAAATTTTTAAATGGGGCAGTTAATGTTTTTCTGAACATAAAATGACATGCTGGATCAAAATCTGGAATAGTTATACTTGTTATGCATTCGGTATACATAAAATAATAAATAAACAAGAGCCAAAACTGATTTTAAAGCAATAGAACTAAAAGAAAAAGTTAGCACTCTTCATTTTAATTACATTACACTAAGTTATTAATGATAACGGAAGAAGTTGGTGCTCAAAAACTTATATGATTGAAAGAAATGAGTTGATACGATAAAGTAAGATACCTGCGCAAGGGTCTCTTTCAGTGCTGCCAATTCATGCTGTTGGTGCCAAATCAGTTGGCAACACTGGTTCAAGGAGTGAACCAACAACTGCTGCTGCTGCCATTGGCCTGCAGACGCAATGTACTGGCAATACGGACCTGTCCACATATTGAAATCAGCGATATGCGTAAACCAGGCTTTGAAATGGAAATTAACATTTTAAAAGAGTTTGTAGAAGCCGACTGTAGCCATTTAAAAATTTTCATTTTAAAGAAGGTAACTCAATTATTAACTTTTCAAGTCATAATAAACTAACCTAATACAACAAAAAGTGTTTCAAATGTGGACAAAAGTATATTTTATCCTTGTAAAAATGTATTGTACCATATTAAATTTGTTAGACTCAATCCTATAACAGCATAATTTACCCATAGAAAGTGTACATGAATGAGAAAGATTTAACTTGGTACAAAACACAAAACTTTACACTATACAATAATTAGATTATTGCACTGACATTATCACTATTTTCATCCAAGTAAGGTTTGAGTTGGACATAGAGTTGATTGGTTCAATTGAAACAGTGAAATTGATACAACTTCAACGTGATATTCTAATTTTGGTGGACAGAGTAAAGTTTTGTTTTTCTCATGCAAGACTGGTCTCTTTCCCGTTTAGGTATACCACAAAAATTCCTTCCTCTATGTTACATCTATATACCAATATTAGAAACTACAGCTTATTTAGGCCAATGTGATTCTGGCTATACTAAGATCATGATTTGTTCACTCACCCAATGCTGCAGAGATGGGTGGTGTGAGCCAAGGTGGAGGAGAGTTCTGTTGCTTCTCTACAAAGTTCTTGTACAATCCACTCATCTGTTGTAACTGACTCTGTAACTGAACAACATTGGAATATGAGTAGGATGGTTCAATAACATACTCGATCAGTCATTTGCATAACAACCTAATTGTTATTTGACACCTTATTGTCTCTTCTACAACTTGTGAGGAGAAACATTACAGTGGGCTGTATGGTGATAAAAACAAAAACAAGAATTTCTTAGAGAAAAAACGATTAGTACAAATAGAGGGTAAGTAAACACAACAAAAATGTCTGAACAAGATGATGCCCAGTCTGACTAAAAACACCTCATTTTTTACTGGTTGTGATGAAAGATGACCCAAATGATCCCTAAAAAAACATTAAACTACCTTGTCTTGTGTAACTGTAGCATTTGATCATAAGTCTTAAACAATCAGTCATATTTGATAAAAAAAAGGGAATTAAAAATAAATTTGTATGACGTTGTGAAAGATAAAGTGGAAGAAGAAACACAACAGAGAACTAATAACACTTCATAAGGATTCAGATGTAATGTTTGAGTTACTGAGTGTAAATAAATATTAACGTGTGTTCTATGGCCAACCTGTATTTCTTAAAGGTAAGCTAGCTGCTATCCTCTTAATTATACAATTCAAAAGGGGCAACTGAGGAAGATTCAGGAGATGGAGAGAGGCAAAGCTTTGTTTGTGCGGCAACAGAGAAGTAAGATACAGAGGAAACATGCTTTAGCTCTGGAATGGTGGGGAGTTTACACTAGTACCAAGCCAGGAAGCACCCGAACAGCTATTGTTTGCAACAGCAGTTGTGGCGCACAGGCCCACGGCGAAGGGGGACGACCAATAGAATTTTCACTAGACACAAGCGACTGGTGCTAGACACGACTTAAGTGTGTCATTCAATGTATCCTCTGTATCTTAACTTGTCTATGGTGCGGCTAAGTATCTACTCATATCTAGGAGTAAGTAAGTAAGTTGTGCAAGATACCTGACTGATCTGCTGAACGACCCAGTGAGTGTCAGGTTGAGGAGGGATGTCAGCAGTTGGTACATTGTCCCCTCTCTCCCCTCCCCTCCTCACCTCCTGTGGCACATAGGGCGTGGACCAGCTGTACCTTGACGCACTACCTAACAGTTCAACATTACATTAATTAGTAATACTAAACTAGTAATAGTAAAATCATTTTGTTACACTACAACAAACAATTAGTTTCAATCCAACATAGGAAACAGATTTAAAAATAATATTGATAAAAAAATGTTGATACGCTATATAGTGTTTTTTTTTAAAGTTCTTTTAATTTTGGATATTCCCTTAAACATGAAAACTGAGGCCTGTGTGTGGAATATACATCAAAGCAAGGATTTCTGTGAAAGAGAACAATTCAAGATTGATACATCTTTGGTTGGGGCATAGGGAAGCTACTCTATGAAATTAAAGTCAGTTTTTAGCGGACATTTAAATACTCAGCAAATTGACATACTATTGTAAAATATTTGCATTAAAATTTAAAACTTAAAGCTAAGTCAATAGGTGCATCATTGTTGCAACTTGCCAATTTTTAAATTAATTTAATACAAATTTGAGACTGAAACTTCTATTGTAATTCATGGAGTTCTCCTTTTTGAAAAAAAACCCAAAGTTTATGTGTTTATCTCTGTTTTTATGTAGTTTTAGTTTTCGGGTTTAACAAATTATTGAATGAACGAAGTGAATTCTCATACTGGTGTGAAATGCATCTTTATGTTGATCGAAATCTCGAGAATGACTAAAGTTATAAACTTGATGTGTTGCACAAAGATTCTATACCACTTTATCTTGCGACCATTATTTGTTCAAAAATATTTGTTCCGTAATTATTATAAAATCTTAAAAAAACATTTTTAATTTTGTCCCATAAGATTAACATTATGAGCTACCTTCTTCTTCTTTTTATTTGTTTACATTTTACGACCTACAATTTTGTCGTTTACTTGAGACAAAGAGAACGACTATTCTTTCATCCATAGAGTAACAGTCATGCCGTATTCATATTATAACTCTACAATTTCTAGGATAATAATGTATTTACGAAAATACTGGCAGGAGTTAACAAATTATCTACTAAAATGTATCGCAATTGATTGAAAAATAAATATTTACATGTTTATTCTACAGGCTACGTTTCTTCAGTAGGCTGTGCTATATAATAAGTACGACGCGACGGTAAACGATGCCGTGGGTGAAAGTCTACTATATTGTTGCCTAACTTGCTAAAAGCTGTTTTATCTATGCTAAAAGTTAAGTGTTATCTTTGACTAATTAATATTATATTAGATAAGATTTTACTATCTAATAATCAATGGTTTTAGTTATTTTCGTTCTGGTTGTTCTAAATTAAATTTCATTAAGGCCTCGCGTCGGTGACTTTATCTATTCAGTCAGTCATTCAAATGTTGCCCCAAAATATTTATATAAGTTACTGTACTTTCATATTACTATATAATGATATAACATAAGTACTAAGATTTTTTTATCAAATAAGGTTTTTTTTTCATTTAATATATCTTTTTTCATCGGTCGTCTGCAGTTCACTCTCTAACTTAGACAGAATCAGAATCAGAAATGAAATGCTGCCAGCTGCCTTAAGTTAAGTTTAGTCATAGAACATACTCCTCAAGGTTTGTTTAGTGCATTCTGCTATTGATGATAAGACGGCAACCTAAGTAGGTTTTAAAGGTTTGTGAATAAAATCCTATCCATTTAAATTACGTAGGTAAGTAATGCAATTAAACTGCATTTTAGATTCAACTCAAACCTCATCCATTAAGTTAAGGTTAACCTAGAACAAGTAGACTCAGTTTGATGAAGAGCGGATGAAACCATATGAAACTCAGCCAATGGACAAAAGAATAGGCAATAGGAAGGAGCTTTCCCGAATTTGGTCTGAATAAGTGACAAATTTTAGTGAGTTTAATATTGTACTCTCAGTCGACTATGTGCCAACTGAGCTTATGGACCCTTCATCAAGTATTGAACACTAAATACTGTAGGTCAATCAGTGGGGACCTACTGCTTCAAAGAGCTAGCCCACTTATAATAATGCTGCTAAGGGCCCATAACAAAAGGATTACGCTTAGATAACCAAGAAGAAGTGAAGACATACGGTACGAGCAGACATAACATTGGGCTCACAGGTCTTCATCGATTGTACCAAGACCAAGGCAGTGGAAGAATGGTGAGACAGACAATCAGAATGCTGAGGTAGATAATCTTAACTTCAAAGTATAGCCTAAACAGTATAAACTTTTGAAGGAAGGCGGTGAAGCGAGGAAGTGCTGTGTCATGTTTAAAGTTGTTTTGTGTAAAGTGTGTCTGTTGACAATAATTGCCTAGACGGCCGTGTTGCCTAGCCTAGGTATGACCTGTCAAGTGTTTTGTTAAAATCTGTGTCTAATGATGTCACAGTACTATGCTTATTTGTTCATACAACAATCTATGTTTAAGTTAATGTGTTTTTCACCGTCAAAGAATGTAGGCCTACGGTAGAAAGTTTAAACTAAGAAAGGTAGGCCTTAATATAACCCTAACTTACCTAAATAGACCTAAAAAAGTAGTAGCCTATAACTTTCTTTTAGCTACTAGATCTGTGTCCTTATAGTAAACTAGGTCTACTTAGATTAAGTTACCCATCTTCAGGGGAACAGTTTCGCAGAGAACCTAGCCTACGATAATTTACCAGATGAAATATTTTTGTTTAACTTAATATACCCTATATGCGATAACTTATCGTAATCGGTTCACTTTTAGGCGATACAACTTACCGTACCCACCTATTTATCATGTAGGCCAAGGCCTATTTCAATATTGAACAATTTATGCCTAAGATCTTTTTTTAAGGAGACTCTTTACACTGTGTAGCTTACTTTTTAGTTTATAATAGGCCTAATAACAAAGGTAACATTTCTAAAAATCAACATGAATCTTTTGTGTATGATTTGTTAAAAAGATAAATTTTTAAACACATAAGTTAGCCTACGGTAAGTTAACTTTGATCTTTTTCATGAGTTTATAAAAATGTAGGCTAACTATCTTACCTACTGGGTAAGTTACAGTTCCGCAGAGAACCAACAATAACTTACTTCTTTTATCAGATGAATAACTACTTAACGGTTTGAATTTAACTTAACTTAATATCGTAGGCCTAGGCCTATTGAATTTAAGCTCATCATACATTTACCATGTGATATAAATAAAAAAATAACGTTTAAAAAATCCCACTCCCCAGAGCCATAGGTAAGACCTACCGAGGTAACCAAACATTAAAGAAGCATTTTATTGTTTTATCCTTGGTTGTTTAATGTTTTGTTATTAGGTAGGCCTAGGCCTATTTGTTTTGTTTCTTTTGGGTACACTTCCATATCTGTTGGCACAAACAACCGAATGAGTAATATCGATCGATATATCGAATTAAACAATCGAATAATCAATATTACTCATTCGGTTGTTTGTGCCAAAGATATGAAGGTACCCTTTTTTTAATAGGCCTAACTTATAATTTATTTTTGGTCAATTGTAAGTTATTCCTAGACAGTAGTTTAGCCTAATTTCTTAAATATGAACAAAAACCGTACCAACCATAAATCAATTTGATGTTTAGCGACATACATTGGAAAAAAAGAATTGTTTGTAATCGAAAAATTGAATCGGATAAATATTGATATGCATTGTTAAGATTAAATGTATTTAACTTACTCATCCGATAAAATATTTGGCAATTATTTAGTATGTCTACATTGAGAAATTGTGTAATTTTTAGATGTTTACTTACAGTATTTTTCACGCTGATTCCAAAAATGCAATTCGTTTTTGTCGGAAAGATTCCTAAATGGATGTAAAACGAAGGCTAAAATTACGAATCTAAGGTTCATTTCGCGGTTCGGATGGTAATATGGCGTGGTCTGGACGGGTCCGAATGTGGGCTGAGGACTGTATGAGCAAAGCAAACAGCTGTTTATACTTAACTCAATGCGGAATTAAATCAATTTGTTTTGAAACTAAATAATCAGCTCTTAGTTAGGCATGTGGGGAAGGTAGGTTGGGTTTTATGCGAATTTGTGACTGTATTAGCCTAAGTGTTTTAGGTTCGATTAGGAAGGTAAAGTTTAGGTTATAATGAACCGGCTCATTAATTTATGCTACCTGCAGACTGTCTTTGCACAATTAAAATAGTGGTTGAAACACAATTAAATAAAAATATAAAAAATGCTTGCAAATAAAACAAATTGAAATATTTATCTTGTTGTTTTTACCTTAAATTCAATTTCCATAGGTAGGCCTACAGTACTTTATTTGTTTCTATATACAGGCTTCTATTCTTCTGGTAAAATGGTCCTACAGGTTAAAATACTTAAATAATAACATTGTTATGCATTTTAAATAGTAACATTGTTTTGCATCATTCCCTTAAGAAGGAGTTCCAGATTACTTATAAAGAAAATGATTTTTATAAAATAAAAGAGAATAGCCTAAGATGTTTTAACATTAAAACCTAATGAACTATGCATGAACAAATCAATAAAAATTAAAAAGTGAAAAAATTGTTAGTAAAAGTTTTGAATATGCCCGACCGGGATTTGAACCAGGGACTCTAGCGTTGAACTCCGATCACTTAGCGACTACACCACGCACGACCACTTCTAATCACGTATTGCAACGAAAGCCATTACCAATACGAGAATCTAGGTCTCGTAATTAAGATAACTTTCCCAAAAATTGTCTTGCTCGGTAGAACTTTTACCAAACGAAATTCGACTGACTACAACAGTTCCTACAGATTTAACAATTTATTGATCTCATAGGCCTATCTATCAATGAAGTGAAAAATTGGAATATTTTAAAGAAAATGTCAAGAGGGGTTCACCAGTTAATTAATAATTAAAAAAGTAAGCCATAGATAAGTTTGGCCTACACCCAATGTTATCGTAGGCTAACTTAAGTACTTTTACTTTTTTTTATGGTCCTTTACTTATGCTAAAACAAATAGTTTGCAACCATATGACACAAAAACAACATTGATTGTGAAAGGCCTACAATAAACAACACTCTACAAACTAAACAAATCAAAACAATTTTTTTTACTCATGCGTTAATTTAGTTAAAGTTTTTTTCATTTTCTCTGTCAATGGTTGGATTGTATAAGAATAAAGTGTGGATAACATTAAATGTTAGTTTGTCTCTTAAAACACAAATTTTACCAATTTCATATTCCATATCTGGTCAGATCTGGATGCCAGATACGACGATCAGATCTGGATGCCAGATACGATCAGATCTGTGATGCCAGATCTGAACTAATTCCATATCTGGTTAGATATGGGTGCCAGATCTGGAATATGTCCAGATATGTCATCCCAGATCTGGCCAGATATAGAATCCAGATCTGGGACCAGTCCACTTTTCCATAAGGGTTACTAACACCATTTTATGGCATCAAACTATTGAATATTATTAATAAGAATTCCGAATTAACCACAGTACTCAAATTGTCATTCGCGATAGACCTAGGGTACTCTTGCATTACTTGCTCTAGCTTTTATAATTAACATTATTTATTCAATTTATGATAGGGCCAGGGGCCATCACATAAAGTTTAAAATCTTGTAAATTTTATGTTTTTTTTTTAAATTGGTATGGTTGATATAGGGGATAGAGTCTTACTGTTATTCAGTGCTCGATTTGGGGGGAATGCAGTGGAACGGAGTTCCGGTACCTCTCTTTCAGAAAGATAAAAATATTTGCATAAATAGGTACCTACATAAATTGATATTTCATTTGACTTCAGTTAAAAAAGGTAGCCTTAAAAAAGAATTGAAATGAATGATAAACGGTTTGCTGAATATAAGAAAGAATGGTATAAATATTAATAATTCTCTCAATGCACCGTAACAACGTGGTTACAACGAGGTTTTTACCAAAAAGTTTGCCGAAATCTTTAAAATTTGAATTCAGGGGATTTTGCGGGTAATCAAGACTTGATTCCGGCTAATTCCGGGGATTACCACCGGATTTTGCGGGTAAAATGAGCAAGTTGTGTTGACAACGCTGGTCATCACTGCCACTGTCGCCACACAAACTTGCGGCGGGCCGCAGAGGCATTGGAGTTGGAGTCTAAACCTTCGCTAAATCATCACGATGTTGTCCCCTGGCACTGCGGAGTGGGGGAAGCACAATTTTGGGGAAGAGAGTTCTATTGGCTGAGGGAACAACCATTACCGAAACGATACGATTTGGAGCCATCGGCCTCCATGGACTAATGGATAACGTGCCGGGCTGAGAAACTGAAGATACTAGGTTGAAAACCTCTCGGTGGCCATTACTTTTTGTCTAAGATTTTTGCACTATCAGCAAGTTTGGTTAGGTTATGACAGTTTAATTTGATAGTTAAAACATTATAAAATTCAATTTGAGCTATTATAGTTTTAGAACTATTTTTTTCCTATCATTCTATTTTTATTTTTATTTTTTTATTTTATTATTTTTTTTATTTTTTTCCTTCGTTAGCTTTTTCATTACCGTATTAGCAAGTTTGGTTAGTTTGGTTACGTTATGACTGTTTAATTTTATAATTAATAAATTATAAAATTGAATTTGAGGCATTTATAATTGTATTTTATGAACAGAACTATTTTTTCGATTAGTAAACCTACATTCGATTTTTATTTTATTTCTTTTTTATATATAATCAGCAAGTTTGGTTGGTTAGGTTAGTTTATGACAGTTTGATTTTATAAATATTCATTTTTTAACTTATTGAAAAACTGCAGCATAGGTTATGCATGTAAAACAACGCAGGCTTGTTTGGACGCCGTCTAGAGGGGAGGTGGAGGGAGAATCATTTCCCCCCACTCCGCAGCACCAGGGGACAACATCGCGATGATACAGCGAAGGTTTAGACTCCAGTCGCAGAGACAGGGTTAAGGGGAACCAAAGACTAAAGACAGATTATATGGTAGCCTACATGGAATTGTCTTCGTTCATTCTTATACGCGACATCGGAGCGTACTCCTAGTTAATATTAATAGAACCTAATACATTGAACAGATCAAGTGCTTAATATACTCTAACAAGCACATTATAAGGCTACATTTCAAAGTTATATACTTTCCAATACAAGTAGGGACTAGACGGTGCTAACCTGAGGAAGGTTTCCGCCACATGTTGTGAGGTTGTCTACAGCTGGGAGCATTCTTCACACTGGTTGTCTCTGTCATGTCTCTGTAATACAGGTTTGATATTAAAGTTAGATTGTGAGACGACAGCATTTTATAAACACAACAATCTTGAAGCCTATTTAAATAAACTTGATATAACTGAGACCACATGTATGTAGAGTTTCTGAATATTTTTCATCATAACGTTTGCTCTACAAGAGACACACCAGAGAGCATTGCATCCACAGTGCATGCCTATAAATATCCACAATTCGTAACCTCCTGGTAGCTGGATTACAAGACTACGCCACCGTCCCAGTCAAATCATCAAACCATTACGTAGCTGAGATGGGGAGTGTTCGACTATGAATTAAAACAGTCAATCATTGAATTTGGATAGCTTACAAACAGTTCTTGACTGTCTAGATTTAATAACAGAAGTGAAAATGCAGAAAGGAGAATAGCGAACTGTATATTAACTATTTAGTAAATATACATTTTTACTTTTGGAAAATCAAATAAAGTTTTATCTAAAACCAACCATTCAATCATAAAATGAAATTTAACACTATTTAATTCAAATACCTTTGACTCAACATTCACATTAAAAGCTACAGCTAGTTATCAAGCATTCCAAAAACCATTATAAGATATTGTTTGTTACTCCAGAGGAAGATAGAAGTGTTATGTCTTCTTACAACATGTATAAACTTAAACATAATACACCTCACCCAGAGTAGTCGGGGTTGTATCCCTCGTCCAAGGTGCTTTGTGTGGAACCTCCCCAAGTGCCAATAGTGGTGCCGTTGCCAGGCTCTTGGAAACTGGAACCTGAATATCACAAGACATAGCTTTCATAAATGTATGAAAAATGTCAAATAGTTACCATATAGCTCTCGTCTTGTTATTATTATTTTTTAGGTAACAAACGCATTAAAAAGTGGCAAAGAAAATGAAGTGCCAAATTTGCTATATTTTTGTTTAGAGATCAGAAGAAATATTGTTGAAGACAACTCAAATGGAGAGCAGAAAAATCAAAACTAGGTTTATTGGGACATGCAAAAAGATCGAGGATTATTAGGATAATGGAAATAATAGTGATCGAGGGAAGAAGACAGAGACGAAGGGCCTAGAAGAAGATGGAAGGATAATGTGGAGAGAAATGAAACGATGTGAAAAAGAAGAATGAAATGGCAGATGGTAGAAGAAGAGGAATTGTGGAGAGCTATGAGAGGATTGAGATGTATTCAATGGCCTAGATGATATTCAGATTGGAAGATGTGCATGCTAGCACGCATTAACAATGGTGTGCAATATACAGAGAGATTATAACATTTAACTTCTAAAAAACAGAGCTGCAAATTAAAGTTTGTTCCTTCAAACAGTAGCTTTTAAATTAGATACTGTAATAATAAATAATAATAAATTTCAATCTTACGCACTTTGCAATGGTTGAGGTAAACTAAGATCTTGGTTTCTGATGAGTTCTTCGAGCTGAATTTTCATCCCAACTTTTCCCTAAAACACAAAAAAATTCTAAAATTCGATAGTTCAATAATTTGAAGCTAGAACCAAGCTTTAAATTAAATACAGTTTAGTTTGAAAAATATGTGAACTGCATGGTTTCAGGTTAAAACAATCACCTACTGAGACAGGTCAACTTGCCGTAGGAGTATAAAAGAATTTAGTGGATAAAGAGAGGTCTAACCACAGTTGTAGATTTCTATCCATCTGTAAGCCACAAGATGATACCAGAGTCGTAATCTAGCTTAGTTTGGAGGCAGTCAAAGCAACGTGTACGGAATCAATATCTAACATTTTAAAATGAATTTTTACACTCATATATGATTTCCAATGTTTAAATTTGTTACATAGGCCCTACCTTATTAAATGAAATAATAAATATGGATTATCAAATTAAATATTTGTTTTCATAAACACTTTTTCAGGTAGAAAACCACATTTCAATTCAATTGTTACCTCTTGGTTGTTATGTTTGACAGTGTTGGCCGGCTGCTGTTTGACTCTCTCTCGCTCGCAGGAGTTGAGTGAGCGACAACTACGCTCAAACATCTCAGCACGCTCACTGGAGTTGACCAGTCGATCGCTTGGGCCTTGAGATACATTCAGATCTTGTGACGACATATCCGACCTAGATTGTAGCATCAGCTTGTGGTTAAATTAAATTAATAATCTACTAACTTGAAAAGAACTGATAACTATTGCATGTTTGACAGCAACGGATACCTGGTTACAGAATGTGTATGATACAGCAAGTCTAATCCAGGGAAAACATTTACTGACAGTTGGAAAACAAACATATACAAATCGGTAAAGGAGTACCATTAATACTCCTCAATTGAAATGACTGACAGTAAAATACCAACACTATGAAGACATCCACAAATACAATCAATTCTTCATAATCATGAACCGATTATAAAGTTAAAATTGGTAAAGAAATTTGTGAAAAAACTATTGCATTTGGAGGAATTTCAGGAGTTAGTTTCATACAAATATGGATAAGAATATCAATACACTGAAGAACAAGTGAACAAGTGTATACTTTCACTCATGTTAAGTGTAGAAGAATGCATTGGCACGATAAAAACAATTCTTTTTTTTCTAGTTAATTAATCTGTCTACTTAACACCACACTTATAATGGAGAAACAATTAAACTTGTGTTTGTACCTGTCTTGCTGCGTAGGACTGGAGCTGTGTTCTGAGCTATTCATTAGCCGCAGCACAGATTTAGGTATGGACTGACCATTGCTGCGTAGCTCTTCTACTTAACACTACACTTGTAATGGAGAAACTACTAAACTTGTGTTTGTACCTGTCTTGCTGCGTAGGACTGGAGCTGTGTTCTGAGCCATTCATTAGCCGCAGCACAGATTCAGGTATGGACTGACCATTGCTGCGTAGCTCTTCTACTTAACACTACACTTGAAATGGAGAAACAACTAAACTTGTGTTTGTACCTGTCTTGCTGCGTAGGACTGGAGCTGTGTTCTGAGCCATTCATTAGCTGCAGCACAGATTCAGGTATGGGCTGACCATTGATGCGTAGCTCTTCTACTTAACACTACACTTGTAATAGAGAAGCAACTAAACTTCTGTTTGTACCTGTCTTGCTGCGTAGGACTGGAGCTGTGTTCTGAGCCATTCATCAGCCGCAGCACAGATTCAGGTATGGGCTGACCATTGCTGCGTAACTCTTCTACCGTGTGCAATAGGTTCTGCAGCTGCTGAAGCCTCGCCTTTGCCTCATTAAGTTGTCTACGAATTGCAGCCATTTTAAAACCATCATTACATTAAGTATTCAGAATTTCGAGGTTTGAAAAGTGTACTGACTAGGAATTATAGTATAGTATCTCCCTCATTGTTATTATTTAGCTCTCTTTGATAAATATCTACTAAAAACTTAAGTAATAGGGTGTAAATTTATTTGGAAAAAACAAGGCCTAGGCCTAAATTTTGATAACATAACAAGTATCAAACACTCAACACAAAAAACATCAGTAAATATTATTTATGATTACATTCTGGACAGATATTAAATTTCTCCTGGATTTCTCTTTAATTATACACAATTTTGATTTGATATTTTTTGAATGTTCATAGAAAACGGTTCTTCTACTAAAACGTTTATTAAACAAAACAGAGTAATAAAACATTTTGAAATTTTTTAAAGGGGGTCAATGATACGAACAAAGACATACTGTACCTATCAGATTTATACTTTTATGTAAAAAAAGGGTGTATTGCATAAGGTTAGGTCCAAACCGCAGAGTAATAAACCAGGCATGATGTTATATATAGTATCTGAAAGCTGATGACAATTTCTTTGACTTATGATTCTGGACAAAGTCTCCATGACAAAAGACCCATGTTTTAAAATAGACTGACCTTTTGGTAGTCATTGCAGTTATCAATTGATTTATCATGCCTTGTTGTACAATAATATGTAGGCTGATACATTGGAATGCCATGATTTTATGTAGAAAACACATAACTAATAAACAATTTGATTTCAATCAAGTAATCAATACTCACTGAGTTTTTACATGTAGAGTTTGATTTGTAGGTGTGTTGGACTTCTCCACAGATCCTCCACGAGAGTCTTTTTTCACAACTCTTTCCTGGAATGTAAAAAATACTATGAATGAAATATTAGTCTTACTACTCTGATAGAGCTTTTATTTATAAAATTGCAAATTTTTACAAATACTACTTTTGTTCCCAAAAACATGCCTTATATTTTTTACTAAAAATCAGCAGTAGCCTACCAGAACAATTAACAAAATGTTTTAAGAATAACTCACAAAGTCACAATAATTAGAATAATGAAATTAAATCTTAAAAGTGCCCATTTGAGGACGTATTTGACATGAGCGCAATGTTTACTAAACTCACCTGGGGAGAGGCAGGTCTCAGCTGAGGAGCACTGTTCTGCAACGTAGAGAGAAACTCCCTCATGGCATTCAACTCCGCCATTTTATTCTGCACGTCTCTTTCACATTCATCAGGACTAAGTTCATCTGCATGGACAAACAATTTTATACTTAGGTATAAATTAAATTACTAACTCAACCCTATATTAATGAAGAACCAAAAAAAGCACAAAGAAACACAAAATAAAAAATTCTCATTATTTTTATAGAGTAGTAAGAGAGGACTTCTTAAAAACATGCACTACCAACTGTCCTACACCCTGAGATACAGATGAGCGTGACCATAGCCCATTCTAACACAAGGCCGCAGCAAGACAAAAGTGGCAACACCGCTGTCCCGACAAACCGAAACAGCTGTAGCACTAATTTATAATGGAGCTTATGTTTACATGTTTGTTACTACTGTTATTACCATGGCAGTAGGCATGCAGGTGCCACCTTGTACACGCGGGCTGTGTAGGCAGAACGAGGCATTCTTGGCTATGAAAATAAGATTACAATTTATTGTCTTGCAAACAGAAACTTAGAACTCGTTGTGAGTAAATTCCAGCATAATTAATTGAATAAACTTGAAAAGTTTTACTTACTTGTGCGGCCCGGGCTTCATTTAGCTGTTCCTGAGCCTGTTATTACCATGGCAGTAGGCATGCAGGTGCCACCTTGTACACGCGGGCTGTGTAGGCAGAACGAGGGTTAAGGTAAGGAAAAGACCAGACTGCAAACTTTCCGCTGACTGATGGGGTTGAGTCGCGAGGACAGTTGATGCAACCCGCATGACGCCACATAATGTTTTAGAATTAGGCTAATAGCGATCGGTCAAGTGCCAGCTTACGTGTCACAAGATATAAAGTGACTTACCAGCAACGTTGTTGGCCACATTAGTGTGCAGGTTGGAGAACTGTGCCAACAGTTGGTCCATGTTGTGTTTCTTGGCTTGTAACTCGTCCAGTTTGTTCTGTACCTCTGACGTGTCTGCTTCCTCGTCCTCCAAGCCGGCAATCTGCACAATCTGCAATACAATGCACAATAACAATCTGCAATACAATGCACAATAACAATCTGCAATACAATGCACAATAACATTCTGCAATACAATGCACAATAACAATCTGCTTATACCTACGTTTATTTGAACGAGTTTGCGAACCAGCATGATCGGACCATGAGAACGGGGGTTTATGGGGGGGTTTTATGGGGTGGGTTTCCCCATTTTTGACCCTAAAAACAAAAAAATTTTCAATTTCTTTTAAACCGTTTTGTAGAGCTTAAAAAAAGAATTAATTTAGTATATTGAAGCGCTGTTGTACGCCTAACGGTCAGGGAGAAAATTCAAAAATAGTGTAATTTAAAAATTCTCATGTTATTCTTATGGAGAAAATTAAAAATGTTGTAGTTTACTTGTTTATAGATATATATATATAGATAAAATTAGGCAAATTTATTTATTTCATCCTATAGTATCTATGTATGGTCAAAAAACAATTTTTACCTTCCCCGTAGCAGCAATCCTAAGCACTCGTTAAATCTAATGTTATTTAAATTGGGAATAAATTTTATGTCTTATTTATGGAAATATTTGAGTTAAAATTTAATTAAACAAGTTAAAATTCGCTTAGTCTGCAGGTTTGCTGCGGCGGGGGTAGTTAGAATGTCTGATCGTTGCACTGACATTAATCAAATTTTGTTAACTGCTATAAACTGAATAACACCTTTTGTATGTTAGATTTTTTCAATTTGGCGTTCTTTAAAAAAAAATCACAAATTTGTTATATTTGCTCTTCTGTTGTATTTTGTGTGTTATTTTATTTTAAAGTCACTGGTACATCTCATAGATCTTTGTAAGTTACATCTGATAGATCTTTGTAAAATTGTTTATTATGTGGTACATTTTGTTGTACTAAACCCTTGCCAATCCCCACTGTCAACTCATCTATACTGGCTATTACTGCAGATGTTTACCTGATGTCTGGCGTCAAAGAAGCGCTGCAGATTCTGCAGTCTCTCCTGTATCATGTTGTCAGTGTTGGCGGCCGCCTGTGAGGTGCCGTGGGCTGCCATCAGAGCTCCCTGTCAACACATACAGTCACATGCCAATACAGTATACAGCTCGTTAATAATGTAGTTAAAACTTTGTCATCAGCAAGGCTTTTAGCTATAAATTAAAAGTTAAGCTTGTAAGGGCAAACATGTCAAAGTTTTGATGATTGTTTTACAAACAATACTATATTGTAGATACCAAATTATAAATTGAATAAAACGATAAACATTTGATTAATCCTTATCCAACAACTAAATGTTTTGGTTACTAAAATGTTTGATTTTTACATTCTTGGCTATGAAAATAAGATTACAATTTATTGTCTTGCAAACAGAAACTTAGAACTCGTTGTGAGTAAATTCCAGCATAATTAATCGAATAAACTTGAAAAGTTTTACTTACTTGTGCGGCCCGGGCTTCATTCAGCTGTTCCTGAGCCTTCTGCTTCAACGCCTTCAAAGCGGCTTGTTGCTCTTGCAGTTCTTGTAGCTATTAATAAATAGCCACAACTATTAGTTGAAACAAATTCTTATTTTTTAATAAAAAATATTATCTTACTAATATTAGAAATCTGTAAGTTTGTGAGTTTGTGCGTTTGTGTGTGTGTTGCTCAATCACGCATTAACTACTGGACGGATTGGGCTGAAATTTGGCATGATGATAGCTCACATTCCAGATTAACATATAGGCATATTCTTATCTCAAAAATCATTCTGGGCTCCGCCCCAGTGGCTCTGTACTTCCCCATGTTAACCTTATGAGTATTAATATTAAAAGGAATTAAAGAATTTAGTCAGCTGTTTCAACTAAAAAGTTGGTTCTAAGACATGCAAAAGCATTAAAAGTTATCAAATTTACCAACAGGGTGCAGCACTACTATTTTTTTCTTCATTTATGAAAACAGCTAATTTGAACTAAAAAGCAACAAAAAACTGTGATACGCAATGAGAACTGTCAAATTAGGATTGTTTACAGTTATGTTTATGTTTTTAATTTCATGAATAATTTTTCATATTTTGTGAATTTAATAATTTATTTTGTTCTATTGTTTAGGTGAAGTAGCAGAACATTATGGCTATAGTAAATGTGTAATACTATTAAAGTAGACCCCCTCTTAACCGACCCTAATGGGACCGGACCTAGGTCGGATAACTCAAAAGGTCGGATAAAACGGACAATCCCTAAAATCATAACATAATGAAGTGATATTCATTTGGAATTATATAATCACTATTCTGAAATCATAATTGCATTATTTATAAAATAAACTACTCTTATCTCCTTTTTCGTATTGATAGAAAAATCACTAATAAACACAAAACACGGTTAAGTCAAATAGGCCTACTTTCAGTGGAATATATTATAATCAGTGTTGGGGAAGCTACTTTTAAAATGTAGCTAGCTACGACTACTGCTACATTTCCAAAAAAGTAGCTTAGCTACAGCTACAGTTCCGAAAATGCAGCTAGCTACAACTACAGCTACAATGAAATGTAGCTACAGCTACAATTTTAGCTACTTTTCAAAAGACGTTACTTTTTATTCCACGCATATTAGGTAAATGTAAAATTAATTGCAACTACATTTTTATTGAACAAACATTTAAAAAAGAAATGTCAGTATTGTATCTAACATTACTTGGAAAACAAATTATTCCTAGATTGTATTTAATTTGTTGGCATTATAAACCTAACATTACAACAACAGAACCAAATAGTTGGGTGTCCCATCATATTTACTACTTATTTTTAAATATTGCATTATTTTAAAGCATCTTATATGTAAATTTCATTAAGTTCAAAGGACTTACAACCAAACTATATTTTAAAAGCTCATTTTATTTCTTTAATATAGATTCATTTATAGATGTCTTATATCAACAATTAGGACCAATAAAACTGTAAAACGATTATTTAAAAATACTTTTTTGTGTTACAGAGCCTAGCCTACTGAAATTGGAGTTTATTGCATTTCTTTACTTTTAATGTTAAAAACGACATTGCTATAACTTTTAACCATAGTGATAAGTTACTTGTTCTATGAATAACACTTTTCAATGTCAAGAAATCGTCCTTTATTGTCATTATGCATAGGGCAAATTGTGCTTCAACCTAGTTGGTACAGAAAACAGTATTCAGCAACGTATCCTGAAATCGGCTTTTAATTTAAACATGTTGAAATTTGTAAAGTAAAAATAACATGTAGGCCTACTTGGCTATGTAACAAGTTGGCTATAGTAGGCTTGTTCTTGCAAGGACTAAACAGATATATTCCTAATAATTGAACTTGGGAACTTATTCGTCTTAAACCATAGCATAGCCTAGGAATAGTCCTATACAAGAGCTGTTAGCAGGAGCAAACTATGCTATTTTTTTCAATGTAAGTTTCATGTTATATGGAGATTTTTTCGTTACAATTATCATGTAGTCTAAGCATATCTTAAATCTCATCAGGTAATTTCCTCTTTGTTAATTTAGTAAACCTTTGAAAAATCTTCGTAATCTAACCAAGGAAGGGCTTGTGATGATGAACCACAATCAACAGCTGAAGCAAAGGTTGATAGAGCTTTCTCATTATTTTGAGGTTTAGTGTTGGTTTCCATTAAAACCCAAGTTGAAACACTATCGATATAATAAAGAAACTAAATTGATTAATAATTTCCCTGTCAATCACTTAAGCATTCAATAGCTTCTCTTGTCACCGGTAACGTAACGTCGTCTGCATCTAGCGATTTTATTTTATCTTACAGTAATCATAGAGTAGTAAATTAAGGAAATGAGAACCAAAATGTGGATAACACTCATTTAATGGCCTCCATGTCCACACAACATTGTAATAGGGAATGAAACGGCTGCAACCAGCTGTATGAAGCCAAGAAAGTAGGCCTATTTTTTTTTTTGAAAATCTCAGTTTGAAAGAGGTTGTTTCACGTAAGGTTGAGGTTATGATAAAAATCACTATCTCAAACAATGCTTATGTAGCGAGAAAAGTAGCTAAAATTCCGCTATAACTACTTAAAAAATGTAGCTAGCTACAGCTAAAGCTACAAAATCATATAAGTAGCGGAGCTACAGCTAACGTTACAAAAAAAGTAGCGCGCTACTGTAGCGTCGCTACTTGTAGCGCGCTACTTCCCAACACTGATTATAATACTAGGCAAGAGTCAATAAAATTCCTATTTTAATAACTTTAGTACTGTAATTTATTAATTGATGCTTTACAAATCCATCGTAATACAGTACAGAACCTTTTGTCAAAATTAAAGATACAAGCAACCATTTTGTTACAAGACAGGACGTTTATTTATAGCCTCTCACTGGAGGCTCGAGGCACAAAAACTATCTTGACCTTGGAGTTTTTAACCCCCCCCCTGCCCTCCCTACAAGTTGTGTTGTTTGTTTACTCCAGCGATAAGGTAATCAGTTCTCAAAATCGTAACGCACTTTACGATGTTATAAATTTGCCGCACAGATAACAAACAGATCAGATGCGCTCGAGCTACGAACGATGATGACAAACTGACAATAGGCTGTGCTATATTTTTTGTGATAAACACAAAATAACTTATTCTTAGTCATATTCTGTGGAGATAAGCGTAGGGGTCAGTTATCATCGCCCAGCGTGGGAGCGGAAATGCCGAGATTCCTAGAAAGCGGCGGTTAAACCGAGCTGCTCTCAAAGCAAGGTCGGTTAAAAAAAAACTGTATTATTTTACGATTTAAGGCGGATAATCCGATTATCGGTTAATACGAGGTCGGTTAAGAGGGGGTCTACTGTATATACAGTAAATTTAAAGAAGCAAATTTGATCAAACTGTGCCTCCCCCCATTGCAAACGCAAAGCTTGAGTATAACTGCAATAAGCATTTATTCTTATATGCCAATCCCGCACGAAGGACAGGAACTCTGCTAGTTCCCTATAAAATAAAACCAGGCAAAACAATTGCAAAATAATGTCATCACCAAACTTTTAGCAAATTTCCCATATTTAGAGGAATAAGCTATTTCTGTAGATCTCATTGTAAGACCTAAACTGACTTTATTTTGCTTTGAAGTCCCCAGAGGCCAAAAGCACCATCTGTCCAATTTTATATTTATACATGTGACCGTTAGCAAGATAGCTTGAGTAAAAATAATCCAATTTTGATGAGATGCTATGAAAAGTGTATGTACGTTAATTTGAATGAGTTTGCAAACCAGCATGTTCGGACTATGAGATTGGGATTTTGTGGGGGTAAAAATGGGGTATTCCAATTTTTAACGCTCAAAAAGTAAAATTTTGCAGACTCTTCCCAAACAATTTGTTTAGAAGGTTAAGAAACAAATAGTCTAGTAAATTGAAGAAATGCTGTACTATCTATAATATTAAAACGAAACCGTGTTTTTTTATTTCACGATTCTGAATCAACCACTCGATGGATTTTCATGATATTTGGGTCGAGAGAAAGATAATTTTGAGAACTAGGGAATGTCGAAGCCATAATTTTAGTTAAGGGTCCCAGTTTTTTAGAAATTAAGTTTTAATTTTTAAAAAGTCTAGCAGCCGACACTAAGATTCTAAACTAGCTTTTGGCATAAAATAATTTGCTTAACATAACAGCTGTAAACATTCAGCTTTTGTATCACAAATTCAGCATTTGGATAAAAATATAAAGACATACTTAGGGTTGACTCATTTATACTATGTGTAATGCTAATCATTGATGCTTTCAATTCTTCTGTAAGAGGATGGCAGATTAATTAAATATACATAGTAAAATACTAGGATGTTCATATATTTTTTAACGCAATCTTAGTAATCTTCGATTTGTTTTAGAGCAATATAATTTGTTTTAACTAACAGCTGGTTAAAAATAAACTATGGAACTATGAGGTTATTTTATTTACTCTTATTTTGTCATTGATTATAGGAAATAAGTAAGATTAGTAGAGATAATTAGACCACAGTTTTAACCAAAATTAATTAAACCACAGTACAAATCGAGGCTTACACGAGTCTTAATAAAAGAGGATAAATGCAAATTATTTTACTGCTCCACTTTTCAAGGAAAGATTAGAAAAATAACAATGTTTACATGTTTTAATTCTTCATGGTAGCTTTTTGTTTACAATTATGTTTGTCTGCTTTAACTTTGTTCAGATTAGGCCCGGAAATATTGATGTCATAAAAAGAAGAATCAAAGAATGATCAAGAATAATCAGGAATCACGATTTTAAATTACCACCACAACCTCAGGCAGGTTTTATACAAAGATAAACAGATGGATGACATAGATTGAACACAACGTCAACATTGACCTAGGATACTGCAATTAGACAAACCATCCTTTTATGAAATCGTTTTCAGTTGTGGTTACGTTTGGGGGCGCCTATATAAGCGCCCCCTTTCTTTCAACTATGAATATATTGTAGTTTAAATTAACTAATATGGGAAATTACGATGTACATTTATTCAATGAGGGTGGGTTATTATCAAGGATAGAACTGATAACGGTATGGATAATAAACATTGACAATTACGTCATTAGCTTTACTAGCGTGTTTACTTTTTATATTCCTGCTACATGTGACCAGTTCTTTTTTTCAAATGAATGTTATTTGAACCAAACAGCTGTTTCAAAACAAACTGTTATTGTTTTTACTTTTCTTTGTTTACGCTTATTTATTTAGCAATTAATTTAGTGAAATTGATATAAAGGATGGGTGTCACTATTAGTTTTGATGTTAGGACACCAAAGTTAAATTATGTGTACTGTGAATTTTATTGGATACTTTCGTTTTATTTTAGGTCGTTTCTATTCAGACCTACTGGGAATTGTGTATAGTAGTTGTATTGTGGTGATAATAATTATGGAAGAGGCAGGTATGCTATGAAAGGTGGTATCGTTGACTAGGTCTATACACTTCTCAATTGACTATTACCATTGACTATACACACCAGGCTACTTATAATCAGTGTGCGTCTGTGCGAATCGGCTGCAAATCTCACTTCAACAATTTTCACATCGTAAAAATTGCAGAATTGCTGTTTTATTGTAAAATTATCGGATTTAAAATGCATATCGTATAGGCTTATGATGGAATAAAGCATATTTGGTCACACAACATTTGTTTACAAGATGATTTTTCACATTAAAACTGCAAGAAACTTTGTCTTTATATGTGTAAACTAGCTGATCTGAATTGTACACGGTTTTAACTGACTACTGAATTCCCGTACATAGGACGGGCTAAAACACCTCGTTAATAGTTAAGAAGAAAATTCCCCCCCAAAAAATGTTTATTCTTTTGGAGAATGAGTAAACTGTTTTAGTCATTTCAGCACACAAAAAACGCACTTAACCATCTTCCCTGGAGCAGAAAATGAGTATTCGTTAAGCCTAATGCTAACTAAACAAGTATTAATTTTGAAATTTTCAAGTATATATTTTAGTGAAATCTAATCACACAAATAGAAATTCCCTTAGTTTGTAGGTTTGTTGGAGTTATTTTTTTGTCAAAGTAGATTGCTTTTAGCAAAACTTACTGCAAAAGAATGCCTAAGAATTCTCGAGTTCAATTTTAAAAATCTTCATTTAAATAGACATGATTTGAAGGAGGAGCTTTCAAAACTAGTGTAAAATTTTTCAGCATTTTAATAGCTTTATAAATTACTTGTTATATTTCTAGGAAAAACTATTGACTTAGTGTATCAAGAGCACTAACAGTTTGTGAGAGAGAATAGATATTTGGATTCAGGTACAAAAATAATGTAGGTAAAATCAGTCAATTCAAAATAACTGGCATAGGCTTAATGTTAATTAACTATAAACACTAACTTAAGATATACCTTCAACTGAGATATATGCACTTGCTTCTTCAGTTCATTTTTCCTAGCTGCCTCTGATGATTTTGAGGAAGATGTGACCTAAAAATAAAAAAAATAAAATAGTTTGTAAAATATTCTAGAAAGCAAAATTAAATTGATTGAGTTATTCCAAATAGAAATAGTTTATTGTTTTATATCGTAGGAAAACTTGAGATTATTCATTTAATATGTAACTAAAATCATTTAATTTTTAGAAATTGATTTGTTATAATCAAAAGTTAATAAGCAAGAGGTAATTTTTTATTAATTTAGTTTTTCCTACACACAATATACTGAAGTACTCACAGATGTGTTGGCACGTTCTCTCGATGTATCTAGCATTTGTTGAGCAGGAAAATTGTCTGGTTCCCCCTGAAAAATGGATAGTAATTGAATTAATTAGATAAATCATCTGTAAGTGCCTAATGTCACAAAATAAAGCATAAATAATGGGTATTTATTTTGTGTTTAAAATGCAAGATGAAAAATCTCTTAATTGTGATAAATTCTCTATTGAACAATTTCCAAAGGTTTTTTCAGTGTCATATTTAGACATGAGAATAGACTTCCAAAGTAATGTAAAAAATTGAAGCCAAAAAAGAGTGGTGCAATCTGTTAAAATGGTCACTAACTAGAGACAATATTCTGTGTTAAGTGATAAATAATTAAATAAATCAGCTGTTTGGTATGATACTGCACTAGTCAATGGTAATACAGAAAAACCTCGCTAATCCGTCACCAATGGGACCAAAGGCATGGTCGGAACGCAAAAAAGGTCGGATTATCAGAGGAGCATATTTATTGATTCACATAAAAACGTAATGAAAATACAGTTTAAGCTGCTGTAATACGATTTTCTAGTATCAACCAGTCAACCCAAGCTATGTACTTCAATTCAATAACGAGGTATTAATCGGCACATTACTCACACATATAATAATAATTATAATTTTTAAAAGTCAGTCACAAAATTAGAAAGCTAAACCTTAGTGTGCTAACCGTGTGTTTGAGGCTCATGTGGTAAAATAGACATTTACTATACGAACACTAGATAACTAACATTTGTTTAACCAGATCAACCAAAGCACATTTTAAGGTAATTCATTCAACATATATCAGGTACAGTAATGAGTTCTAGTAGTCTGCACGCATGCAATACAAAACCAAAGTGCTGCACAGAGAGAAACAATCCTTGTTAAGTGAATAGAGAAACTTCATTTGGGATATCAGTTAATGGATATGATAGCAATGACTTGGATTGACTTACTTCTGACATAGGACTGAATATCTGTATTCTACGTCAAAGTTAAAATGGATAGTTCTATCTCAATTGAATTTTTAGGTTCCAAAGATAGTTAGGTTTTTGGTGAAAACAAACACATTAGATTAAAAACTCACAATTCTGCATAGTCAAAAAGTGTGAAACTAAAAAAAAATATTTCCAGCAATTTATATTCTTCATAAAGGAACAAAGAAAATTAACAATTAAAGCATTGACATGAACTTTTTAAATTATCTGGAGAGAAAATGTGTTTTTAATTATTGCTATGACTGGATCTTTAGAACCCCTTTAAAAATGAGCTAATGAGTATATTTTTTGTGTATTTTATAGAAGTATATTGGCATCAACACAAACATTTAGTCAGCATGAGTAAATGAAACAGCTAAAAATACCTAGTAAGGTGAGTGAAATATCTGCACTGTTTTCATTGCCTTATCTTAATGATAACGTGGATATGGACAGATCACAACATACTTGGAAAGTTGGAGAAAAAATATTTTTGATAGGATTTTTTCAGAAAAAATATCTGTTCCAACTGTCTTGAGGCAATCACAGGGGATGTTGATGATTTAATTGTTACTTTGGGAGAAGATGATGTTGTCCTCACATTAGCAGTAGATAATAACGACAGTTGCAAGATCAAGCATTGCATTCATGATGACAAACTCATGCAATAAAGACTGAAAATAGTTTTTTTCCGGGTTTAATGCAATTTGCAATTGCTCAATATCTTTAAACTATCTAGGGTAATGTTACCCTTTTGCAAAGAAAGAAAAGTCCCATTCCGTTCCTTTGTTGAAAATCACAAAGGAAATACAGATAGCCTAATGTCCTGCCCGTTAAAGTACAATCCCGTTCATCCCTACTTTCTAGGTATTTAGTGATTATTGGTATTTAAATTCCGTGGGAAAAGATAAGGTTGATCAAGAAATATCAGTTTTTAGCAAGCACTTCACCTTGGGTTGTGCAGGGTTGCGTTGCAGTCGTTCGTACAGGGATTGAAGTTTCAACTCACTGTCTCGCAGGCCTTCCAGCATAGAGGATAATTTCTCGTGCTGAGCCATATTGCGCTACAATCATCAACCACATTCATTAACAATTTTGACAGTATTTAAGGACATCAAACAGGGGCTATATGGTTCTTGTGGTAACAAATGGATAAATTTATAGCATGGTAGGCCTAAAAGTTAGAAACTGTTTTGATCAAATTCAAATTTTGTTTTCAGTTAATAAAAAAATAGCTATCTAAATCTAATTTGTTTTTTAAAGCTGTTGGCCAAATGTACCTAGATGTTATTGTTAATATTCAAGTTAAAAAAAAACAAAAAAAACAATTTGGCAACAAAGAAATTTTGAATTATTAACAAATTTAAAAAAAAAAAAATTATTTATAGATAATTTATTTTTGATTAGGTGTAGGCCTATGTGTGTGTCTCTTATCTGTAACATAGTGAATCCATTCATTGTGCATCTCAAAGCATTCTCAAGCATCTTCAAAAGACATTTCCAACCTTGTTTTTTAGCCAGATAGTTAATACATAAACTTATATAAATCAAACATATAAAGAATTGAAAACATTTTAAAAACATTAGTGCCCTTTTAAATCAAACATAATATCAATTTTTCCAACTACTTCAGAACATTTCTCCCCAGACTGGTTGTGAATTTTACAGTTACCAAATTGATCATGCACTTGCTGGGACAAAGTAAAACAAAAATCACAAGACTTTATAGAAGAGTTATAATTGGAAAATATCAGCCATTTTGACCAGATGGTGAGATGCTACCAGCTAATGAGATGCTCCAGTGGTGGGAGCCTGACCCCATCATCTTTCACCCAAAGATTTTTCACCGCCAAAATATTTGCCACAAAATGCACCACTGTTAGCCTCATGAAGAACAATGATTCAGAAATGTTTTTAATCAATGAACATTTCCTCAGATTTCGCCCCAACTAATATTATTCCTTCATTGTTCATGTAACAAATCTAGCAATACATTTCAATTGGTCAGTAGCTTTTCTACAAACAAAACCTTTATTACACCACATACTTTACAACTGGAGATTTTCAATTACAAAATCTCCGCAGCGTAAAAGTTCAAATGACATGAATAGGCCTACTACTGTATGATAGTGCTAGTCCCAACATCTAAATAGAATACTGAAGGTAGCCTACAAACAATATGACACAAAAATGGGGCAACAGCCCTGTTCAATGATGCAAATCCGACAAAATGTCCATTCATTTTTTAATAGACCTCTAAGCTGCTATCGCTGGTACCATATTTTTCAAATGCCCAAGTTATGGCCTATATTGAGGTACCTGTCCGCCGGTAGCTCGCAGCCCGTCCATCATGCTGACTGTCTGGTTGACATAGTCTCTGATCTGATGCAGCCGAGACGCCACCTGCTGCGCCTTGTCTGACTGTCCTAGGTTGTTGCTCTTGTAGCCGTTCTCGGCCCAGCTCGCTTGAGATACCTATATCAATACAACATTGTTCTCAATCGGTTGCGGAAGAACATTTTGTATGTCAGTTCAGTTGTAACTCCAACTACCATTGAATACGGATGTAAATGCCCTAACAGTTTTAGTGACCCTTTGCCCAACAGCTGGCAACCGAAAGTCTCAAACTTATTCTAGACTTCATTAAAATTTTTGTTTGTTTAATTTTTGGGACTGAAATTCTACAACATTTTTGTACATGTTGGAAATGATAACAATGTAACCCTAATTTCAAGATAACACTCCCATATTTTTACACTGCCGTGGGTGATAACACAACAAAATTTTGCTTTGATTTTGTCATAAAGTATTTTAAAATCAGTTACAAGTTTTTGAGTTACCTAAATTAGTTTTGATAATTTTGCCAGCCCCTGAGCTGTAATGTAACACAAGCAGTAGACTTTACCTTCGTCAATCAGCTCAAAAGTTGTAACTTTTGTTATGGCCCTTTTGACATTACGATGCCATCATCAGAATCTGCTTCAACCGAGATCTACCTGTTGTTTGGATTATACGTGGATTTGAGATTCAAAATTCCTAGTTTTATTACTGCTATAAGACAAGAATACTATAGTAGGTACACAAATTTAAACTTTTCAACAGGTTTACAGATTAAACAACAAAATTTAAACGAATCAAAAATTTAAGAAGGACTAACTAGTTACTGCAAGTAGAAGTTACAAAAAAACACGATTTGTAGCCTAATAGAACAAAAAAATTTAGACGAAATCAACAATCCCTGTAATTACTTAAAAACCAATGCCAAAACACGTCAAGTGACTAGTAAAACAGTTGTTACCCCGTTTTGGCTGTTCTCTCTAACAAAAGGTGATTAACTCTGGCAAGTAATTAATGTGTATTAGTCGAGCCAAATGTTTGAACAATTGTTTTAATTGCTACACAGCAATAGAACTATACTTGGGAATAATTGTCATTTGCATTCAAATGTTCTCTTCAAACAAACCTAGCCAGAATCATTTTAGACTGTACCATAATGTTCTTCAACTCTTTACTATCTGTGTAGGAATTACAATATTGAAAAACAATATTAAAATACCCATCATAGGTTGGTTGTGGTACCTTACCACATGCCCAAATAAAAAATGAGTGCTAATTATTAAATACAAGCGTAAAACTGTTAACTGAATATCTCCTGTCTTTTTTATTATTTGGATTTTTCATTACAAACTGCCCTCACCTCATCATCGTCGCTGTTGTACACAGAGTGGCGTTGGCCGGTGTTGAACCACAAGTTGTCTTGTGTTACGCCATTTTCTTCTGGAAACAAACATAAGTATAAGGATCATGATCAAGCATCAAGTGATATGGGCACAGAAATATGTCTTTCATAAGACTTGTGCACTGTATTGGAATCACTGGGTGTGGTTTTTTAAAATTCGCTCTATGTGGCAGCCAGTAAAATGGTTTACAATCATTCCAGCAATTTCTAGTGACTCTGTAGGGTATATAGACTTTATTAGCCTATAGGCAACAAAAATCAATTAAACGAAACCCGCCAAAGTTTAGGGTAGACATTTTAGTTGCCAAAGTAGAGTAGTAGTATTCAAGAATAGAACAGTACAACAGACAACATTTATTTTTAATATTTTTCACAATATTGCCATGGACATGGATATTGTGAACCATAGGCTATTATAGTGTTGAGCATTCAGTAGATATTAATAATCAATAAAGCAAACTCAAATGAGCAAAAAAGGTCAGATAACAAATGTGGAAACAAACAAAAACCATTAGCTCATCTCCAGAATTTTGCTACAGTAAGGCACCCAAAGCGATTAGATTTTTGGGCGATTAGGTTGCTATTCTTTAAGTTGGGTTATCCTGAGAATGAGTTTTTAAGAATTTACTGTAGCCTACTGCCTCACATTAAATTGAAAGGTAACACAAAAAAATACGAAGTGTATTCACCTGTGTCAAAAGATTCAGAAAACCTGGAGGCTGAAGTGTTGGATTCCTTGCGATTGCGAGGGTGAGGAATCGTCTCGTTGACAGGCTGCCAGTCCAGCGAGCTCTACAACAAACCAAGCTAACCACTCTCAACAAGTTCCACAGAAAGTATTTCAGAAGATTGCATCAAAGTAGTTTGACACAATTTGTAATATGCATGGTTTTATAAATAAAGCTGCTCTCAAAGGGTTTTCTTTTTTGTAGGGATGTGTCGAGTCTGAATCTCGAATCCACTGAATCCTAAGAAAATATTTGGATTCGAGATTCAATTAACGAGATTGAAAATATTTTTTTTTAGAAAAGAACACAGTATTGCCTAACCATAGAGGTTATTGACGTCGTAATATACAGTACTGTGACATTGACTAACCATAGAGGTTATAGTCGTGGTGGTGGTTATTTGTGTTAAATGGTTCCTATTCCATTCTTGCTTTTTTAATCACCATAAGCCCATTTGTAATTATTTTTGAGACTCGAGATTCAAAGATTCGAGGTTTAATTAAAAAAAAAAATGGATTTGAGATTTGAAATTCCTGGATTCTACCATCACTACTTTTTAGGTTAATCACTTGAAAACTGCATTTTTGAAAAATGACTAGGTTAAAACATATCATGTAACGACTATTTTGCCTAATTTGGTTTTGATACCTACGTTTATTTTCATTTTGGTAAAAAAACTAAAGTATAGAAGTGAGCGTTCATCGTTCAGTTAATTTAATTTGTACAGCATGAACAAATACTTATAATCTAGCATTAGGTACCAATTTATAAGAGTTAAAATTATGTACGACTGTCAAGATTTTGCAAATGACTGAATTCATCATCATAGTAGAATGTTTGGGTATACAACAAAATAAAAATCATAGCAAAGGGCTGATCAGATAATAAATAAACCTTTGAGCAACTCAAGACACTATAATAAACTCAGTCAATTCTGACAAGACTGCCATTAGGCCTACATGCATTCTGTCAATTCATAATATTGTATTAAATATCGTTTAAACCTATATTGTTATATAATGATCATCTTTAAACAGACAAATTAAGAAAATACCATAATAATTATAACCAAACAGTTTATAAAACATATCAGATTACGATAGGTCAACACGCGAAATCATTGTTTTAAAATTTCAAACATTTAAATCTACATCATTAAAATTTAAGTCTACATTTAAAAATAGGACCAACAACTAGTTATATAGAAAACCCAGGGTGGAATAAAATTAACTTGGAATTAGTTTGAATATGTTTGGAACAAGATTTAAATATGTCATCAGTTGGCCAATGAGGTTAGTCCCAATTCCGATTGATGTGATCCTTTGAAAACTATTACTAATATGCTACACATTTTACGTAAGTATTTTAAATATGTGCAGAGTGTAACCTACTATGTGTAATCTGATAATGTAAAAGTACCTACAGTAAATATAATCTAAAATGTCAGCATACCGGATTAGCCATGGGATTGTCAGAGGACCACAAGGCGGCAAAAGATTTCACAATATGGCCACCCATTGGCAAGAGGCCAAGTCTCTAAAAATAAATACACCACAATTCCTCTGGTTACCACCCAAATTGTTATAAATACCTGGGTATACATCCACACACTTGCACAATAAGAGTGGTAATTAGTTGTTTAGTTTGAACTTGACCTAATTGCTGACATAGCTTTTCTATATTGTAGAAAAAATAGCCAATATTCGCAGGTGTAAAAATTGCAATTTTATTTTATAGAATATGAATTATTTTAATGAACTGATTAATTGATTTAGGCTTAAATTTTGTCCTAGCGAATTTCCCAAAAACTGAAGGTTTGCTGCGGCGGGGGTGTTTTAGTCTTAAAATGTGTATTGGTATTGTATGGATCCAACATTCCAGTAGGCATATCGTGTAATATGAAAGTTTTTTCTATAGCCTACGCCTAAATATGTTAGAGTATGGCCAGATAATCTTTGTCGGTATTCCATCTCTTGTATATATATTTAATAGGTTTACCAGGTTGTTGGGCATGTGGACATGATTGAAGGGATGATAATCTCGACGAGTCGCTCCGTTATACTCTCGTGATGCTTCGTTGTGGGATTTGGTTTTAGGAACAGTTCCAGTTTGGCGAGGGCCTCCACCGTTTCCTCCGATTCCAGGAGCCATCCTTATTTACTCTTTGCTAAAAACTGTAAAAGGAAAACCGTGCACAGTTAAAAAAGATTTAAGCTACATATAAAATAGAACGATTGCATAGTTGATAAGTCTCATTACGGTTGCTTAAAAACCTAATAGCAACAACCCACAGTCTGTTGCTAACCATGGATCAACATTATCTTTCTTTAGAAAACATTTATAGCCTACCACAAATTTACACAATGAAAGTCTATGATAGATCAGCAGCGGCTGATTTGATATACAGTACTTTATGTGTTCCCTAGGCCTAGCTGGCATTTTTAAAAACTTTTTTGTGAGGGAACGGTCCAAAACCTGATCTCACTACTAGCTAACGTCAGCCTTTTGTTAGGTACTTCAATCATTTATTGCCAAATTACAAATGTCATCCAAGAAAATTTGAAAATGTTGGGCCCCTATCTTCTAGAACAGATATAAAGTAAGCCCTAAGTTATGACATTTAGGCCTAGGTACGGTATGTTAAAGGACTGTTCACACCGGCGTAGCCAGATGTATTAATACTTTTTCGAAATATGTAGCTGACGTAGCTCTTAATGTAAATCATAGAGAGTGTTCACACTGGCGTATTAATACGTGAGCTACGGAAGCTACAGCACTGCCGCTACGCCGGCTAGCTACGCGTAGCTCGCATAGCCGAATACGCGCATGCGCACTAGCCCACTGGGCTGTCCACCCCCACCCTCCCTCCAACTCATAATTAATTTATTAGTGGTAGGCCTAAATGTTGGACTATAACACAAAAATTCACTATCACTTAAAAGTCATTAAATCTATCACATTTAAATTAGACTATAACATAATAAACTTAAGACAACTTTATATGATCAATATAATAATACCATACGAGTATTTAATGGTCCACTAATTTTTTTTGTTTATGCTTACAAATCTCCTTATTAAAAACTAAGTTTATGTCTCTCTTAATTTGGTTTATTATGGTTCGTTGGCTGACATTTATGAAACAATAATGAATTATTTCTAGACGTAGGCCTAAGTCTTTTAGCGAATTTCCTTATAGGGAATATTAGCGAATTTCACTATAGGGAATAAGCTATTACCGTAGGTCTTATGGTTAGACTTAGTCCCGGGACCGATTTACTTTTTCATTATGATGTCCCTAGAAGCCAAAAATACCATCCGTTCAAAATCATATATATATATATATATTTAAATATTTGTAATAAAAATATATTTATATATATATATGTATGTGTGTGTGTGTGTCCGTTAGCACAATAACTCGAGCAAAAATGATCCGATTTCGATGAAATTTGGTACAAATGTGTAAACCTACGTTTATTCGAACGAGTTCGCGAACCAGCATGATCGGACCATGAGAACGGGGTTTTATGGGGGGATTTATGGGGTAAAAATTGGTTTTTCTCATTTTTGACCCTCAAAACATAAAATTTCCCAATTTTCCTCTAGACCATTTTTAAGAGCTTAAGGCCGGTCTACACGCAAGGATTTACCGTACGTTTTACCTGCGCAAGTAAATCGTTGCGTGTGTACCGCAAAACTGTGCATTTTTTAGAACTGCGCGGAGACGGAAGACGGAGCGATAAAACTATTGCGGAGAGCATAGTTTTGACAACGTTTTCAGACAAGTCGTTGCGTGTGGACACTGTCATCCGTTTCAACTCCGTCTTCACGCTCAAACCCCCAGTATGCAGTGTTTTCTTCACGTGCTGTCAGAGGTATAAGTGTGTTTTTTAATTACGATCACATATCTTCAACAATGCTTCCGTGATTTTATTGTTGAATTCATCGAACTCTGCAGAAGTTTCCTTAATTTGTGGAGGTTCAAGAGTAAGGAGTATAGTGACTGTGATAAGAAAAAGACCTTGATACTTTTGAAAAATACAAAGCAGTAGATTCAAACGTGAACAGAGAAACTATTATGAAATTGGTTGTCTTTTTAGTAACCAACGTCTTGACCATAGTGGGTCTCTCAGACTTATTTCTTTGCTTTCTTGTAACACTGGCTGCAGAAATCGACCACAAAAACACATCTTCCATCATATTACATGCACATAAACTGAAAGTTATCACAAAACTGCACTAAAAGTTGGTGCTGAAACCTGTACCGTGTGGACGCATTTCTTTGCAACGACTTGACTGCAACGTTTTACCTGCGCAGATAAAACGTTCGCGAAATCCTTGCGTGTAGACCGGCCTTTAAAAAAACAAATAATTCAGTATATTGTAGTGTTTTTGTATGGTTATTGGTTATGGAGGAAATTGTAAATTAAAAATTCCCATGTTATTCTTATGGAGAATAAGTAAACTGTTGTAGTTTGCTTGTTTATGCGTATATATATATATTATATACCTATATATATATATATATATAAATCTATATATACATACATAAAAATTTGAACGAATGGTGTTTTTGGCCTCTGGGGACATCAAAATGAAAAAGTAAATCGGTCCCGGGTCCAGGTCTTACCGTGCCACCTACAGTACCGTAATAGCTACTTCCCTAAAGGGAAATTCGCTAAAAGTAGGCAGGTAATTAAATTGTAACTTATACAATCATTTTACTTAAATAACAAAAACAATACCTATTTTCTAAACCTCAAAAAACGTTCGTCAGGCGTCCGAACAGTCCAAAAATCGGTGGAAATAGGCTAAATCTGAAATTGACTGACAGACCTGCCCTGGATGAGTGTAGATAGTGCAACAGAAAATCCATTTTTTTTTCGGTACCTTGGTATTATCCGGAGGCCACTTATTTTTTAGGGATTTTTTTTAGCGGAGGCCAAAAATAACTATATAATTAGAAAGAACATACTTTAATTGACTTACTGTCCAAATTTAGCATGATTACGATTAGCGGCGTTTGAATTTTGGCTCCCAGAAGGCAGCGATGTCGGCGAGGATTAAGTTGAGCGGCGACGCCCACTATAATCCACCAAGTGGATATATCCTGTATATATACAGCGCTGTGGCGGTTATGTTAGGTTGGGTTAAACATGTTTGTGGGACATTCCTCGTTTCGTTATGAATCGAACGATACCAGATGAGTCATACTTTAGTGCTTCCGTCAACAACCTGACCTTGACGTACTTGGAGGGGTTTTGGCATGCGAAAGGATGACTCATCTGGAATCGTTTGATTCAGAACGAAACGAGGAAAGTCCTACAAACATATTTATGTTAACCCAACCTAACATAACCGCCGCAGTGTGCTGTATAAGGGTGGCCCCTGGATAATACCAAAGTACCTAATTTTCGTAGACTGTGAAGTGCCGGAACTGATATAGGCCTAGGCTATTAAGTGTAAATCAACCATCAAGGTGATGTTACCGTCAAGAATTTATAATTAAGTTAAAACACCATAGGCTTAAGTTCTTTCAAATTTTCATTGTCTACAACTTGTTGATTGTTACAAACAGTAACTTGCTTTATAAACTCAATCATATTAGGCCTAAATAAAAAAAAACATTTTCTTTTACCTCAAACACATAGGCCTACTTACATTACACATCTGTCAGAAGTCGGAACAATCTGAACAATATCGGTGGGAAGAAATCTGAAATTGACTGAAAGACGCCGACAGATCGACTGACGGACCTGCTTCGAATGGGTGTAGATAGCCCAATAGAAAAACCAATTAAGAATAATTTTTTGAATGTGATGTGACTGATTTTACTGACCTGTGACGTGCCGTAACGGCTGCACTTTACTTTAGGTCCTACACCCATTCGAATGAAAATATCTATCGATAGCCTATATCGATTATTCGATAAGTTATATCGTTTGGTAAGTTAGGTAAGGTTAACCTAACCTAACTAACCAAACAATATATCGAATGAAACAATCGAATAATCAAAATTTTCATTCGAATGAGTGTAGGACCTAAAGTAAAGTGCAGTCGCCGTACGGTAACTTAACTGATGTTTGTGAATCGATCTTAAAACGTCAAATATGCCTAGCTGATGTTACAAACTAACTTAAGATCTTCCTACGGTTCAGTTTGAAATTGAGGGTTGAAAAGACCCAAGGCTAGGTTAGATTTGCTATTCAAAATTTAAAAGTTGCCGATTTATAGCATTTTTTGCGATTTTCAGTGTGAAATAGGCGTCTGCCCTAAAAGTGCCAAACGTAAAAAGTGTTCAATATAGGCCAAATAATGAGAAAAAAACATTTTTTTTTTTTAGAAGCCCCTAAGGTAAACAAATAGGACCTCTATGATTCGTGAGCAATAGGCCTACCCAGCATTGAAAAGAACACAATGCTACGACAGGATCTTAGCCCACAAAGTAGGCCTAGGCCTAATATAAATCTTTTACTTTTCAGAACAATAATTTGTAGGTAGGTAGATAAATTAAAAGGGCTAACTGCAATGTTACAGTAAACTTAGATATCAAAAGACATACCAACTTGAATCAATGGACTAGGCCCAAGCACCATATGACACTTGCATTTTTCACATGATAGGCTATAAACTATTAATCTGGATGACGGTCTGTTAGTTCCACTTTAAATATGAAAATCAAAAGTAATAATTTAAATTGCTAAAAAACTAGATATAAGTTAATTGCAAAATGTCCCTTTCCTGGCGACCGAGACTATTAAAGATACGAAGAATGTTTATTTATTTTTCACTTGTTTTGCGTCACTACACTGACACTATGTCAATCTGAATCTATAAACTTTTTTTCGTTGATGTGTCAGACAGAAGACAGAAGTCACAGAGGCACAGTCCAACAGTAGTTTTCTACCTTTTAGAACCATAGAAAAAAATTTAAAAAATGTACACGGTGTCATTGATTATTAAACTTTCCACTATACAAAGTAAATGTAAGTAAATTATGCACTAACCAAATAATAAAATTAGCGTATCATGGGTAAATAATAGATTTATAAATAAATAAATAAAGTATAAATGTATAATCGATGATATTATTTATCGAATCACACTATAAATAGTTATTCTATACATTTTTATTGCCAATCCCCACGGTGTTGTAATAGATTTCTTTTCCATATACAATACTTACTTACTTGATACTTGTGTGCTGTGTCGTTGACCGACAATGTCGGATAGACTGCGTTATTATATATACATTTAAAATAACACTACTATTTACAATTTACATACATATAAACTAAATCAAACTTAATCAGGCTGTGGCAGTAAATAAAACGTGTTCCCCATTTTTAAGGAAGGGCTTATATAGCTTTTAGGGGCTCTTCACTCAGCTCCTCCAGAGAGTATTTATAGTGGCCTATCTACCAAGCTATTTCTGATGGCCGCTTTGAAAGAGGTGATGTTCATATCTCGCACCTTAATCCGGCAAGGTATTAAAAAGCCTTATGGCATAGCGGGGATAGCTTTTGAGGGTGCGGGTGAGACGACATCGCGGCATGTCAAGGTGTAGTGCTTGCCGGGTGTCATAGCGGTGATGAGCTTCTCTTCGGTCAATCAGATGGACATTCTCTTTCAGTAGTATTAAGATGTTCAATACGTATTGACTGAAGACTGTAAGAATGCCCAGGTCTTTAAAAAGGGGCCTACAATGTTCGTTGTAGTCGGTTGACATATTATGATTCTTACAGTTTTTTTCTGAAGCAATAATATGTCCTGTGCTGCTGATGAATTAGAATTACCCCAAAGTACCAAGCCGTACATAAGATGGCTATGAAACAGAGCATGGTACACAGTTATCAAGAATTTCTTCGGTATGATGTTCCGAAGTTTCCTTAGGAGGCAAATAACCCTAGACAGCAGTGCGCATACCCTATCAATATGTGAGCTCCAGCTTAGTTTGGGATCCAACCAGAAACCTAGAAGTTTAACCGGCTCATCTCTTTCTGTTAGTGGCTTCAGTGTGCAGAGCAAGGACTGAGTTTTGGCTGCATTTAATTTCAGGCGGTTTGTTGTAAACCAGTTCTTGGCCAGCTCCAAAAGATGGTCAGCTCCAATATGCAGTTGCTCAATGTCGCTTCCTCTAGATATCAGGGTGGTGTCGTCAGCGAAAAGGAGGGTGGAGCCATTTAGCCTCAAGTCGTTCACCGCCACACTAAAAAGGAGAGGGCCGAGCACCGAGCCCTGTGGCGCTCCATGTGAGATACTCCTAACGCAGGAGAAGGCCCCATTTATCGCAACAACTTGCCTGCGATTTGCCAAATAACAGGACAGGGACTTCAGCACAGTTCCGCCCACACCATACTTTGCTAGTTTGCCTATCAGTAGCTTATGGGACACCACATCAAACGCCTTGCTCAGATCGCAAAGTCGAAGGAGGATTGACTCATTTGTGTCCAAAGGCGTCAGTAATTGTCTCAACAAGACTCAACAGTGCGGTGGTTGTAGATCTACCCCCTCTAAATCCACGCTGTGCACTCGAAAGAATGCTGTTTGTCTCAAGATAGGCCATGAGTTGTCTTTTTATGACCGTCTCCAGTACCTTAGAGAAGACTGGGAATATGGAAATAGGACGAAAGTTTGATAACAGCGATGGGTCTCCCTTCTTAAAGATAGGTATGGTCTTTGCTACCTTTAGGGAATCAGGAAAAACCCCACACTTAAGACAAAGATTTACTAGCTGAGTCAGAGGCTTTAGTATAAATATCATACAATCAATCATATGACTCCCTCCTCCATCGACTACGGATACAGCCGAGGCCACCTTTAACTACAGGCCGCGGCCTGGTAGAATTGGCAACGTCGCAAGTAGGGTTGTTTAGTGTCAGACGTCCCATTAGATAACATGGCAGACAGCTGACATCAGCTAATTCATTCGTACTTTATTGATTTTAATTTAAATGTATGAACATAAATTTATTGAAATATTAAAAATAAAACATACAGAATTTAAAAACAAAACAATATGATTTGTACATTTAAAGCGGAGTCAATATTTTCATAGTCCATTAACCAAGCTTTCGTAAATACACAAATACCATTTAGCTGCATCCAAACAAAACAGCTGTTACAACCCTACTTGCGACGTTGCCACTTCGAAGGCCGCGGCCTGACAGCAGTTAGTTACTGTAGATGGACGTGGATAGACTCGTACAGTCAACTAAAATACTGTTAATTGAGCATTTAGCAATTAAACAACTAAAACCAGGGGTAATTTGCCAGTGTGGGCAGTATGTGCTGTTGTTGCTTGTTTTAGCTGTGTATAGCGGAGGGCAAGTAGTACTTGTTAGTTCACAAATACATGTTTCTATTCGTGTTGTGATGATTTAAATTGAGCAAAACAACAAGCGATGGATAGATGAAATCCATGGTAACACCATTTTCTAGATGTATATTATCAATACTAACACTCATGGAGGAAGTTCATCACCCGTCAAACGTCACAGTTGTTCATGGCAGAAGGAAGGCTCTTGGAGTTGTGGCTGGGCTAGAATCATCACTAATCACTAATCAGCAGACCCTTGTAGCGTTATTAAATGTAAGTAACAACGCTTAATGACGTAATTACAGTAATACACAACAACCCTAACTGTTTTTGTAAAATATAATTTTGAAATTTTAATTGACATCGAAAAAAAACTTTTTGATTCTTGGTTCAAACTAATGGCTTCACTTAAACAAGGTACAGTTATAAAGTACTCTTTCTCTTTCAACTTCGTAATTCCATTGACAAACTTCATATCAGCTGCTATAATTTTTTTTATGAGTAGGATTTGCACTAACAAAAAAAAGGAAATAACTTCAGAAAGGAAATAACTTCAGTCTCACGTTACAAATTGATCAGCTTTTTGTCTTTGATGGAAAAAATCTTTCTTCAGATTCGGTTAAGTATAAGGACGATAAAAAATACTCTGTATCTTTATGATAAAAAAAAAATATATAATACCCACTTATATAAACATTGTTTATTTAGTTGAATTGGGTAGGTACTGTTGTAGTGAAGAAAAAACAGTTTAGTTTACATATATTTCACATAAAGCTTTACCCTAACTCTTACATTTTTGTCAGGCCTATTTACACGCGACTAAAATCCCTGTAAGTATATATAAAATAATAGTAAACTTGTATTACCTCTTGTTTGAAAAGCAAACTCACATTATTGTTAATCAGGCCACAAATTTCATAACTGTAAACATAACAACATATCTTGGAGCTTGGAGTACGCTTATTATATCGTAAAAACGTATCACTTGACCTTTACCTCGAACGCGGCGGGAGATTTGATTGTATAATATTTTTAACACACAGCGAAGCGTACATGACAGCTACAGAGCTTAAATTTGTTTACAAATGATGCCAGTACCTAAATGGTGATGAGCCTTATTGCGGCAAACAAGTGAACTACGGATTTATACGCAAACCGGTCCTTACTTAAAAACCACCCTCGTATAATAAAACACATTACAAAAACACCATTTTCGGTTTGTCTTATTGTAAAGAGTGTTCTTTGAGTGCAGTAGGATGTTGTGCTACCTTCACCATCGAATCTTTCTCTAGTAGAAAATTACCATATTACAAAGTGACTATACAGAATCATTAGCTACTGTGTAAACTGTGAGTGCAGAGCCAATGGTAAACCTGCAATCTAATACATGACTGCCAGCTGGTAGCCTATTTGTTAGAAAGTTAAAGAACTCACTGAAGGAAACAAAAAATTGGAAAGTCCCTGGAAGTGATAACATTACTCCGGAGGTTATGAAAGCTAATCCAGAGTTGGCAGCAAAAAATTTAAAGCCTTTATTTCATAAAATTTGGAACGAAGAGACAATGCCAAAAGACTGGAAAACAGGATTATTATGTAAACTGCCGAAGAAGGGAGACACAACCAAATGTGAGAACTGGAGAGGTATTACTCTGCTTTCAATTCCTGGGAAAATATTCGCAAGAATTATTTTGAACAGAATCAAAGAGGTTGTTGATAGGAAGTTGAGAAGGGAGCAAGCTGGGTTCAGAAGGAACCGCTCATGCACAGACCAAATAAATACGATGAGGATAATAATCGAGCAAAGTAATGAGTTCCAAGTTGGTTTGTATCTTGTTTTTATTGACATCCTGAAAGCCTTTGACTCCGTAAAAAGAGAGAGTATTTGGAAAACACTTGGGCAATTTGGGATCCCTAATAAAATAATAGTTCTTATAAAGGAGATGTACACAAATTACCATTGTAGAGTAATTCATAATGGTAAACTAAGTGATCCTTTGGAGGTAAAGCTAGGAGTTAGGCAAGGCTGTGTTCTGTCCCCAACACTTTTTGTGATAGTTCTAAACCAGGTTTTGCAAATAATATCAGAGAAAGGAGCTAGAGGCATATCCTGGGGACTACAACAGAGGCTTGAAGAACTGGCCTTTGCTGATGATATTTGTTTCCTGTCCCATAGATTTGATGACATGACAGCAAAGTTGTAGTATTTGGAGAGTGAACAATCTACAGGCTTAAAAATAAATGTAAAGAAAACAAAATCAATGAGGATAAATGTAGCGAATAACAACAGATTCAGAATGTCAGATGAAGAAATCGAAGAGGTGGACAGATTTACATATCTGGGAAGTGTCAGAGCCGGAGGAGCTGATGAAGATGTAATGTCAAGAATTACTAAAGCTAATGCTGCTTTTGTACAGCTGTATCCAGTGTGGAAGGCTCGTGGAAAGCTACAGATGAAGAACCTGTAGAGATACAGATTAAAAAACGCAAGTGGCGATGGATTGGACACACTCTTCGTAAAGATCCAGATGCTGTAGAGAGGCAGGCCTTGAGCTGGAATCCCCAGGGGCATAGACGAAGAGGAAGGCCTCGAATGACCTGGAGAAGAACTATAGAAGAAGAAATAAGAGATGCAGGGAAAAACTGGAGGGAATTGAGAGCCTTGGCTGCCAACCGAGTCCGATGGCGTTGTTTCGTGGAGGCCCTATGCTCCGTGCAGGAGTGAAAGGAGATAAGTAAGTCAAGTAAAGAACTCACACGAGCTAATTAATGATTGGACATCAGTAATGCTCTTGGCATACCGTATTTTATTTAGTTAAATCTTACTTTAACAGCTGGAACAAACAGATGACCATTCCCTATTCATTATTTCATTAATGAAGAGGTAATAAATGGTCACAGCCAAAAATTCAATGAGCTTACCCCTAGGAAGACACAAAAGAACTGTATTGCCTCACTAATGCAGGTAACATAGCTCTAAACTGTTCAGATCTGTATATTCTGAGAATCCGTTCATCTTCATTACTATGCATGACGTCGTCTTTGTCAAAACTTTCCATATCTAGTGCATTTTCCGCTTCACATTTGGTAAACGGGAGGATGGTCCCTATAACTACAAGAACAAAGTCAGAAGCTGATTTAAGCTTCTCACTGAACTCTTCTCTTGTCATCCTATCCTTACATCCAAGATTTTCCAACATGTCGTTTAGAGTTTGAAGATATAAGTCGTAAAGATCTTGTAGTTTGTTTTCACGTACTTCTTCATTAGCACTAGTATATACAAAGTATAGAATGTCAGTGATAGGAGACGAATACCTCAATAACTGAAAGTCGATGAACATCACGTCGATGACTTTGCCAACATCGTTGTATTTGAACAACATGTTGTTGGACCAACAGTCTCCATGGTTGAGGATATTGAGGGAGTTAGTATGAGGTTGGCAAATAGCAGCAGTAGAATCCCAGAGCTGATCGATTCTTGCTGTTATCAGATCAATATGGGCAGGATCCACTTTTATTTCTTGCAAAGTATTTATAAAGATCTTCATCGAAGAAGACATCCAAATCTTAAACTCTGCCATAACTCCGTCATTTTTGTAAAACGCTTCTTTTCCAATGGTTTCAATGAATTGCGAATCATCATTGTGGCAAACTACAGTGGTGGCGTGGAATTTTCCTAGTTTCTCCATTACGAGCTTGCAGTGCTCAAAATCCAGCTGTTTAAATTTATCTTGCAATAGATAGCCTTCTGGTTTCAAATCCTCAATGACCATTCCTTTTTCAACAGGGCAGTGGAAAGACTTAGGCCCAAATTTTATTCCGCTGATTTTCTTCATTTTAGGTAAAAGAACATTGTACATTTTGGGTTCTTTCGAAAAGAAATCAGTCTCCTGTGACATTTCGTGCATTACACCTTTCTGAATTGGCATCTTCACAATTAGTGATTTTTTCTCTGTCTTGTCTGCATGCCCAACCTTGTACTCTACAACTACCCTGTACAGATGACTGGTATAGTTATTACCAGCAGCTACTGCAGGACTGGCTGAGAAGTCTGTCACAGTTACACAGCGTTCTTGAGAGTCTCCTTGGAGAGCTGAAACCAGGAAACTTTCATTCAGCCAGCTTGGAATTGTGTTGTCCATTGTGCTGCAACAAATGATAAGTTCAAACAGTTTCAATTATATAAAGAGGAAAACATTAAGAAACGCCTGATTTAAACTAATATGTTATAAAATTTGAAAAGGAACTTAAGAGAATTTTCACTAAAGGAAAGGCCTATCACATTAGGTCTTATGGATGCTCAGGTCCATGATTGGTCTGGTAGTTTTTATCCTCGTAGGTTTAAATTAATGGCAGACTTCTTACAACCGGAAATAAATTGGACAATTATAAGGACATATTTTAATGAAACTAACCAAGTATATGGAAATTCACATAGTCTGCAAATTGTGTGTACTTTCACATTAATTACCTTGACTTTATAACCGGTCTGTTAATGACTAATTTCATATATATGTATGACCATTGATTAATCTTTATATTTCTGCTGTATGATTTATTTGTGAAGATTAATTATCACATGTTTAATATTGTTAAATGAGGAGTAGGTAAATAAACAGTTATTGAAATGTTGTACTGAAATTGACTATTCTTTAATTTGACTTTGATAATTGACAATTTAATTAAGTCAGATTGTAAATATGAATTAGCTGTTTGTGTATTGAGAGCGCAAAGTACGTCATTGTGGCCATTAATTTCGAGAGCGGCAATGACTATTTTTGCTCGTACTACACACAAGAATTAAGATGTTATCTACTCCTATAATTAAAGTTCACACAGATTCACTTTTTTAGTTATATTTCAAATGTCATTTAGGCTATATGTATTTGATTTTTTAGGTTAATATGTTATTTGCTTACAGGATGTTAGTGTTATATAATTGCCAACAGTGAAATTAGCTGTTTAATAAGCGGGAATGAAGCGAAAATGAGCTATTTTGCGCACTGTTTACAGGTGTGGCAAAGTGATAATTTACATGCAGTGGTAGGAAAAATAAATAGTTTGTGAAATTGAATTTTGTATTGCTGACTTGTATACTGACTTTTCGAAGGATTTTAATAGACTACTTTTATTGATAATTGATCGTTGACTGATTGGGGTAGGTAAATCACTAATCCAATCGACATAAGCCTACTTCAAATATTGTAAATTACGTTGTCCCAACCAAAAAATCATTTATATTTATTTTTTATGATCTTTTTCTTGAACGTAAAAAGCGCCTACTCTGAGGTACCTAAAGTAAAAGAGTATTTTTTACTTATAAAATACGAAATTAGTTGACGGCCCCCTCGTTCTCGTGATACTAAAACTATATAGCTGAAATAAGTTCCAGGTTCACAAACAAATAAATTTTCTATATAAAAAATAATTTTTCTTACAACACCTTACACTGCAGTTTATTTTTACACTACAATTAAAATACAATCAGCAATTGTATGTGTAAGCTAACCACCCAGTAATTTTTAATTGTAAAAAAAATATCTTTTACTAACTACAAAGCAATTTTCACATCAGAGTACATCTTGATGTGTATACAAGTCATCTTGATGTGTGAGTAAAAGTTGATGTGTATGGATACACTTTCATTTTATGTATTTCTGATCTGTCATAATCACGACTTAAATTTGTATTACACAAATCCGTCTCTTTTGGAATTTTCAAATCTATTTATAATAATTTTACTAATTAAACTTTAATTTAATTCCTACATTTTTATAGACTCGTCAATTCATAATTCATTTGAGAAAAATAGCTCGCTTTCTTGGAACTCCTTGTTTGTTGTTAAAACAAGCCGAAGAGAGGTATTTTACACGAAAATGTTTGTAGTTTTCAATTTTAATATAACCTGAGCTACGAATAAATAATTTCTTCGTTCATTAAAGTTAACAATATATTGTTTTTGTAACTAATTAGGACAAACTTAATTGAACAATAGTAGCTGACGTCCATAATAACTATTTCTATTATAAATGGTTGTAGTTTTTCTAGCGCTTATTGTTACTTAAAAATCAAAATACGTAATTATAGTTTTCAAAGACCAAATAAGAAGTAAAATACTTACACGACACAATCTTGTACGCTGTCTGAAGACTATTGTAGACTCTGAAGTGACTATCACTGTATTCGGGCCTTGTGAACTATAATGATACTTAAGTGTCATCACTTTGTTGAGTCAAAGAGGGCAAGGATGAGGACGTGGAAGTCTCAATTTGTTCCACTAGGTCAAAACTATTGTGTATGACAGGCGTTTTACTCTCCAACGATTAATAATTTTGCCAGAATTATAGTTCTAGAGGCTAGTTTCTTGGTATTTACCGTACGTATTAGCTGTGTTCAGCAGTTTAAGAGTTAGATTTCCATTACGAAACCCCATTGTACACAGTTATTAATTAATCCACATCTGATAGCTGCTTAGTTATTATATGGCTCACACAATTAGTTACTAATACAAACCCTAGCCATGTTTATGTATCCTATAGGCTGCACACTTTTGTGGGGCTTAAGAAATGCTAAAACTTGAGTTTGCTACGTTATCTTAATTAGGCGACTATATTTTATATTTTATTTTATACCTAAAGTTTATAATAGGGAATTTTTTACAACTTTATAGATTGTGCATTTTAAGTCTATATATAAAATTGTATAATCTATCTATATATTAATAGGCAAGCATGTATCTTTAACACTTTTTTTCTCAGCTCATGTGCATCGCAGGAAAAATCTTCGCATACTGTTAGAAAGATATTTTTCCGTAGGTGTGCAGAATCCCTTTAAAAATTAAAATAGGCTCAGAAATAAGCACAAAAAATGAATTTGAAATTTGAAAAAAATTAACATGGGCTTTATGGGTTTCTATGCTGGTGACGAAATAACAACAAAATATAAACAGAAAATCAAAACAAATTGAAGAAACTCCAATCACATGTTTTATTTACAGTATGGGGTGAAAATAGAGAAGTCTGTACATTACAAATCTTTGGTCGAGTTTCGACCACTGGACGACCTCTAGTAGTAATAAATTGTTTAACAATAACTTTCAAACAGGCACGATTTTTTTTCCAAGTAACTGTAAACAATTTTCAGCTGTGAGCAAATTTTATTGTTTTCGTAAACATACGTTCGATTGGTTAACCTAAAAATTCCCAGTTCTTTAAGGATGTTATAACAATTCTAATCTACAAATCAATAATTCGGCCCTTGATTACATATGCATCTCCTATCTGGGGATTAGCTATATCAAAAAACAAACTCTTCAAAATTCAAGTGATTCAAAACAAAATTCTAAGAATAGCGGTGAATGCTCCCTGGTTTGTTAGAAACAGGCATATACATGAAGAACTAGGAGTGGAGTCTATCTCGGCCTTTATTGAAAAAACCACCTCAAAATTTCTAAAATCTTTAAACGATGTTCCTGGTGCATTAACTTTTCATCTTGGTGAAGCAACTGAGAACAGGAGGCTACGTCGAAGGCTCCCTCAAGATCTATTGGATGAATGAAGCCTAAAGACGATTAAATTATTCTCTAAATTAATTATGTTACAGGGTGTACCAGGTTTGGGCGAACCCACGATGTTATTATAGTTATTTCTTTTTAATTTTGTTAACACTTCTGTGTATAATGTCTACATTGAACCGGAAATAAATGCTGTAAAAAATAAAAAAAAGGATGTTATAACAGAATACAGCATTTCACAATACAACACAATACATGAATATCATCCAGGAAATATTTGATATAATTTACATAACATTTTTTATTATCATATTTGGTGTGTTCCAAGGTATAGTCGTGCTTTTAATTCTGTTCACAGACACTTTAAGTTGGTTAGTAAGAATGTCGTTGTTTGTTTACGTATGGATTTATACAAACCTTAGTAAGCTGTGGGGTAAAAAGTGTTTTTTGACAATATGTCAATAGTATAGGATGAAATAAATAAATTTGCCAAATTTTATCAACATTATATCCATAAACAAGTAAATTACAACAGTTTTCATTTTCTCCATAAGAATAACATGGGAATTTTAAATTACCTTTTTTTTATTTTCTCCGTGACCGTTAGGCATACAACAGCGCTTCAATATACTAAATTATTTGTTTTTTTTAAGCTCTACAAAATGGTTTGGAAAGAAATTGCTAAATTTTAAGTTTTTAGGGTCAAAAATGGGAAAACCCTATTTTTACCCCATAAAACCCCCCATAAACCCCTGTTCCCATGGTCCGATCATGCTGGTTCGTGATCTCGTTCGAATAAACGTAGGTTTACACTTTTGTACCAAATTTCATCAAAATCGGATCATTTTTGCTAGAGTTATCGCGCTAACGGACACATATATAAATATAAATATATATATATACATATATATATATATATATATATATATATATATATATATATATGAATTTGAACGGATGGTGTTTTTGGCCTCTGGGGACCTCAAAACGAAAAAGTAAATCGGTCCCGGGTCTAGGTCTTACCATGAGACCTACGGTAATAGCTTATTCCCTATATGGGAAATTCGCTAAAAGTGTAGGTCTACATTGTTTTATTGTCCATTCTATCGTTTAATATTATTAATGAGGGTGACCTTCAAAATTGATGAGGATATGTTAATTAGACAAAGTACCGAGTTGAGTTTAAAAGGCTATGGCAATAAGTATACGTTTATACTTCAAAATTGCTGTCTTTTATATTTATTTGAAGTACAAGACGTAATTTCCAAGGCACAACTACTTTGAGGGGTGTATTGCTGTACCTGTGTAGTGTAATGTGTATAGAAGTCGATAAGTCGATGAAACAATACTGTAATATTTGTTATACCGTATAGGGTTTAATTCTTCAAGGAAATAAAACTCAAGGTTATTGGGTACCAGGACTGCTTTTAAAAGGCATTGTAACAAGATATTCTCAGCCTTTGATTTGGTATTCATTTACTAACCATCGTAAACGTTTACTTTAATTCTTCTTAAAATTCACTAGCAATTTCTTAAAAAACCGAATACCCTTTTATTCTTTTAAAGTTTACTAGGATCATGCACGTTAATTTATGTGTATTTTATATATAAGGCACAGCATCCAGTTGTACTTTACACAACACCAACACAGGATAAACTATAAACCTTTTTGTCAAACTTAGTTACCCAATATGATAATTTTCTAACAAACTGCAGTAGTTAATTTGGCATGGTAAAATGACAACTGTTTTATAGACTTTCTATCAGAATATGATGAATTTGTAATCACTAATCAACATTATTTAACAATCCTTGTTTAGACCTAGACCAGAAGCTGGGAATTCATACAGCAATAAAAAATATATTTTCATGATTTTAAATTAATAAAACTTGTTACGAATTAAAATATCGCCTTGACATCTTCTGATTACATATCGAAAACCACATTTTTGTGTCTTGTGTTATTTGTCCCAGAAGAGTTATGTAAATGCTGACGACCTCTAACGTTCTAACTTGAAGATACGCTCTTAGCAGCACGAAACAGATGTAGTTATTTATAACACAATGAGGATCAGCTGTCGCAACAGGTAACCTTAACATTTTAAATAATGAAATAAATTATGGTTGCCCAAGTAGGAAAGGAAATTCCTATGTTATCATTTATAGGCTAATGGTCAATATAGTGAATTCCAACTTTTTATCTTATTATTATTTCCAAAACAAAAGACAATTGTCGTTGGTTTATTACAATATTTTAACCTGATGCTATTAACATTTTATTAATTACAGTAATATATAATACCGTGAGTCAAGTAAAACACATTTAACATACCAGATGTAAAACAAATTTTGGTAAACACAAGTTCAAGTTCAGAAGATAAAGAAAGACCCATGTCTCACTTTGGCACAAAGATACTAAGTTCTCCGAAGATGGTCATCTACAGTAGGCCAGATTTCACAGGGTATGTACCTAATATTTAACATGGTAAACTGAGTAGGCCTATTACTGTAAAACGTGTATACAATTTACACCGGTTAGGTACCAGCAGGTACCAGATATGAAGTAAACTCCTCCAAACCAGAGTCCAAGCTTGATAACGATCCATGTCTCAATTTGCTGCGAAGATAAGTTCCCCGAAGAGATGGTCATCTAGGCCAGATGTCCAGTAAATCTCACCCGCCCCAATTGTGACATCAGGATCATCTGATACCCCGCGCCGGACAGCTCCAGGGTGGTCCAGGGTGGGAACTGTGGAACTGACCACACAGTGGACCAACAATGTGACATTCACACCCGCATGAGGAACTGAGGAATTGAAACGCGATCTGTCAACAAATGGATTGTGGCAGTCCAAACTTCCGGTAGCCGTGATTTCTCACTTGGACGCTTCGCTACAAATAGCTTGAAAGGAGAAAAGGGTAAGAGAGAATGAATGAGTTAAGTGTTTGTGTGGTCTGTGAACGTCACAAAGGTCCAAAACTGAATGCATGTGAATAGGAAGTTTATTTTATAGTTTGATTAAACTAAAATTTAAAATTGAATCTTCAAAATATAATTTATTTAGGATGTAAAGATTTATGTACTGGTTTTATGAGTACCTATTTATTTGTAAGTACCAATCCTTGATGCAGTTGTACCATAAACATTAATCATAAGTTTATCAATTTTAAGCAATAGTTTTCACTTAGTTTAATTATGAACGTCAGTTCAAGAAATTTCTGCATGCTTTCCGGCATGAAACCCCCTTCGTGGACTTTAGAGGTAGATTGACTATTGCGATGTTCTTGACGCAGAAGATCCCACCTCAGTAAAACTGCAGTGGGCCGGGCTGAATACTCTAAGACCGTTCCAGTTTTTAAACTTTCTCCATATCCATACAAATATGTAAATGCACTGGTATTATATTCTTTTGGCCCCAATGAAATTTCCAGTCACAGTCATGATCGAACTGCCAGACTCCAGACCAATAACGTACAATAATTGTTACCGAGAAACTCCCAGAGTTGTTAGATCATTTGCCCAAGCTAAGATGGAGCCTTTGCCGTATCTTTTATATTCTATTCACTGCCGTAGATGGATTAGTCAGCTCCCGAAATGTTCCATAGAATCCCATTAATCGGCATAGAAAATTATCGTTTGTGATAATTTCTAGGGGGATGTCACAGGCGCCAAACCCTAC